TTCCGCACCCGGAAAGCGTAAAGCTGAACAGGTGATGCCGGATATATATGGTCAAGAGATGCGAGCAGGATGATAGTGTGTGATACTACCACGAGCGTCCTGGCCACCGCTATGCCGATGGCAAGCGATGCTCGAAATATATATATTTCAGGTGAGATGAACTACATTAGTCCCCCTAACAACGGCTCAAAGATATGCCCCGGGCAGCTCGTGAAGTTTGACGCCAGGACAGAATGATTCTGTTACGTTGCACCTTGAGCTGCGCCTCGCGTTTGCTTCCTCTGGGAAAGACGAAGCTACGACCCGGACAATACAGGTTTCGACACACGCCGAATCTTGTCACATGTTCGATCGACCATGATGGTGCTGTCGTATTGTGAGTCGAGACGGAAGAAACAATAGTTTGGGACGGGTTTCCGTGTAGGTCCCGGAATTCACGGGGGTCGCCCCGGTGCGGTTCCGACGATGAAGTCTGGGGTAAATGAGTAAATGAGTCCACGAGGAGTTGTGGGCCGATCGAACCGCTTCAGTAAAAGCGATATCTCTAGCCGTAGCTCATAATACGTGCAGATGTTTGTTATTTACCTCCAGACTTTTTTTTGGCTATAACTTTGTGAGATTGAAGCAGTATTGTCCAGGCCTCCTCTAATCAATTAGTTCGCCGCCATCATGATCCTGGAACACCTCGGTTTTGGCTCGTTGAAGTTTGTTGGACTTGCGCTGCTAGCTGGTCTTCTATTCCGCGGAATCCTCAACAAGTATGGTCGTGGATTGCACAATATCCCGGGGCCATGGATAGCAGGCTTTTCAGACTTGTGGAGGCTGTTTCTCGTCCGCCGCCGTCACGCGCAGGAAGAGCACATCGCACTGCACCAAAAGTATGGACCTATAGTGAGACTCGGTCCACGAGTGGTGTCTATTGCCGATCCTGAGGCAATCAAGATCATTTACAGCCCCAGTGCTGGATGGTCAAAAGTAATTCACGAACCGTCCATCCAAGCTTCTAGGGTCAATACTGATCATCATCTAGTCTCAATTCTACCCGGTGCAGCAAGCTCTTGCGAAGGGCAAAAGGCTTGAGACCATGTTCAACACGGCAAACGACAGGTATCATGCAAAGCTGCGTCGATCTGTGTCTAACTCATATGCTATGAGCACATTGGTGGCTTTTGAGCCATTCGTCGACTCAACCTCAATTGAGTTCCTCAAGCAGCTCAAGACGAGATTTGTGGACAAGACCGGCGAAGATGGCATATGTGATTTCGGTGCTTGGCTACAATTCTATGCCTTTGACGTTATTGGAGAGTTGACATTCTCGAAGAGGTTGGGGTTCGTAGAGAAAGGGGCTGACGTCGACAACATCATTCGGGATTTGGAAAGCTTCCTCGACTACGTCTCTTGGGTATGTTCCCTCAGAGCCGAAATTGACTCACAGCTGCCAAGGTTTATGCTAACTGAGTGAATTATCTGAAGGTCGGGCAAATACCCTTTCTAGACAACCTCCTTATTAAGAACCCTCTCAAACTGTGGGCAGCTCAGAGCGGCCTCATCAATACGAGTGCACCTGTCGCGCAATTTGCGAGAAAGCACATCACTGAGCGCCAGCACGATGAGTCTTTGGGCGAGGAAAAGTCTAGAAGAAGGGATTTCCTCAACAGATTCAAAGAAGCTAGAGCAAAAGATCCCGACTTCATTACGGAGCAGCTCGTTCTAGCGCTCACCGTCGCCAATATGTTTGCAGGGTCCGACACCACCGGTATCACCATGCGAGCTGTTTTCTACTTTCTGTTGAAAAATCCATCCACGATGAATAGTCTACTGGCGGAAATATCTGAAAAGAGCAAGGCTGGGGGGTTCTCCCGAGAGGACGGCCTTCCGCAGTGGGAAGAAGTCAGGGACATGCCGTACCTAGGCGCCGTGATCAATGAATCCTTGCGCTGTCATCCAGCAGTGGGCCTCACGCTGGAAAGAATGGTGCCGGCCAATGGTGTCAAACTAGTAGGCTGCTTTCTACCCGGAGGCACAATTGCTGGCTGCTCCGCGTGGGTGCTTCATCAAAGTATAGATGTGTACGGCAAGGATGCAGCCGATTTTCGCCCGGAGCGATGGCTCGAAGCAACTCCTGAACAACGGCGGAAGATGAATAATACTTTATTTTCGTTCGGTGCTGGAGCAAGAACTTGTATTGGCAAGAATATCTCTCTTCTAGAGTTATACAAGCTTGTCCCTGCTATCCTACGGAGATTCGAGGTGAGTCACGCCCAGGCCCTTTAATGACCAGGAAGAATAGAGCTGATTCATTTTGGCCTTTAAGCTCGAGTTAGCTCACCCTGAAGCATCTTGGCAAACACATAATGCTTGGTTCGTGCGACAAAGAGATTTCTACGTCCGGCTGAAGGAAAGAAAGCAAATTCTGTAATGGAGTGACGAAAACGGACTGTAATTAAGATGCTGCGGCTCAGATCTTTGGTCGTTGAAACCCCTCAAACTGTTGAATTTTAACTGAGGCATTTCCTGACTACCTGGATTACTTGTCTTGTGTACCACATAAAGAAATTATATAGGAAATCAACGTTCTGGCAGTCAGATAGAAAAGCTCCCACATAGGGCTATTCGATCCTTGAGCTGTTTAATGAACATGTTACTATCAGCTGATCCATCTCAAGATCCTGCACAATCATAGCATTCAGTTTCTCATCCAGAAGCCCAAGTCATGAGAAGTCACTGGTTTAGCGGTAGGAAGCGACACTATGACCTTTAGAAAAGCCATCTATTCTCTATACTGGGTAGATAAACTTGGATGTGAATGCTTTGACCCTTTGCAGATTCGAAAAATACTCGGTCGCTCGGAATGTCCATATCAGAATTGTTATTCAAATACCATTGTGTTCCTGACGCACCCAAGCCCCGTAATGCTAACCTCTACAACATCTCCATCACCCAGATATTTTGGCTCCTTCATTCCCATAGCTACCCCTGATGGCGTTCCTGTCAAAATAACTGTGCCAGATTCGAGGGTTGTTCCTTGACTTAGAAAACTTATGATCTCTTCTACCCCGAAGAGCAAGTCACCTGTGCTGGAACTCTGGCGCTCTATACTATTGACCAGCGTTCGAAGATGAAGATCAGAGGCATTGCCAACGATATCTGGAGACACGATCATTGGTCCTAAAGGTGCAAACCGATCAAAGCCCTTACTGAAGCACCATTGAGGTACACCGCCGGCTTTTTTAGGATCTCGCTGCCACCCACGGCATGACACATCGTTAGATACGCAAAACCCGGCGACGAATTTTAGCGCGGAACCCTTGGAAATATTCTTCCCGGTCTTGCCGATGATAATGGCCTAGAATTCTCAGTACGAATGCCTCATACTTTAAGCTTTCTGCCTCCCCTCAGATCTTACCAGCTCGCCTTCGTAATCTATTGTGCCATCCTGGGCGACTTTTGGAATAGGTATATTGTCCTCGAAGCCTGCAATACATGTTGATGGCTTGATGAATAGAGAAGGATATGGCGGTGGCGTGCGCCCTCCCTCCTCGACTGAAGGAATGGTCAGAAATGTGGTGAAGCCTTCAACAGGATCGCTTTAGCGCTCACTATGCTTGATGTAATTGAGTCCGATGCATCGAATAATTGGGACATCAGATGGATGCAAGATGTTTCGCAGAGCCTTGACGTGAACTTTCTCTCCGCGCGTCGTAAGGCTAAAAGGGCCTACACCTTTGTATTCAATCGCATGAAGAGTGCCGCTTGCCAGCAGCTGCTCGAGCTCATGGTCCGACTGTATACAAGGCTCCCCAAACATCTCCTTTCCATTGTCATCCGCAAACCGGATCAGTCTTTTCCAGGCTTGTGCAGACATTGGTCGATCAATGAATCGCAAGAAAGGCCAAGCCGACGGGGTCACTGTTTGAACACTGAGATTTTCGCTATGGTTCATGAATTGTCTATAACTGTGGCCTTGTGGGTGGGTGGCGGACCCTTTCCGAGGTTTCGGGGCAGGCTCCGGTGGCCACCGTAGAAATATACGATGCCTTGCGCACTGCGGTTACAAATCCCTACTACTAAGGAAAGAAATCCGGACCTGTACTATCTTCCGTCGGATCTGGTTCCTCGTAGGTAAGCCGCCTGCGAAAATCACAAACTTGCCTTCTAGGATTCTGTGCCGCACCTGTCAGGATGTAGTGTCTTTTGCGGCTCATGGCAGGAGTTTGCAGGAAAGATGGACTTGATTTTTTTGCAGTTGAGGCAACATAATCCTATAATTTCTCCATGTGAGAAGTCTAATAGTAATCATAAATCAATCTATTAGCGTGCGTGGCATGACTGCAATGTTTTAGGAGTGATGCAACGTCTGACGTAGCCGAGTCGAATCTATCCAAATATTGACACGCACGCCCAAGAAAGACCTCACGAAACAGTTGGATCATTGACTTCATGTTAAGAGCACTCTAGAACATTAGCTCATTGAATCCCCAGTTCTTGAAATCTACGCCCGAGATCTATGGATCTGAGGATTTTGTCGGTCTAGCACCGACCATGACCGCGAAGGTGATCAGCGCACTCGCATCGTACTGAGGAGACATACCTATTTTTTGTTGTCACTCCAGACGCTTTGTTATCAGTGCAAGGGGAACATTACGGCATCTGGTTTGTTCACGAACTATTTGCTTGTGTCTCGTGAATCCGCTGAACCTCCGGATCTCGGAATATGTGAGCCGCACTGCATGCACCGCATTTACGGACCAACCACGGACCAATCGCGAGAAAAACTAAACACTTTGCCGAAGGCCGGCAGGAGTTGTGCAGCGGCAAGAGCGATGTTGAATTGATTCAATTTGATTCAAATGATAAGGTGGCAGCTCTAACCTATGACGACTGTTGACAGATAGCAACAGTAGATGCTTGCATTGTGACTTGATCACGCCTCTATCTTGAACTTTGATTATGGCCTGACTCGATCCATCAATACCTCATTTCCCTCATATTTGCATACAATGGAATATCCGTTCTGGTTCGGCGGGAGTGCAAGCTCCATGGCGACATTGTTCACGCATCCCTTGGATCTTGGTTAGTTTAGCTCATCCAAGTCGCCAAAGTGATCTAACGAGTTGCATAGTCAAGGTGCGCTTACAAGCAACCCCAAGCGCGCAACAAGCGTGTACGTCTGGTACAATGCATCGCATTCTACTCACCGAGGGGTTCACTGGTCTTTACTCGGGTCTCAGTGCGGCGCTACTTCGTCAAATGACATACTCAACCGTTCGATTTGGAGTGTATGAGGATTTGAAGATCCGATTGAGAGCCGGTAGACCGACCGAGAAGGGCCCGGGTTCCATGCTGATCCCTCTTTCTGCGCTCTCAGGCTTCATCGCCGGTGTTGTTGGTAATCCAGCCGATATTGTAAATGTGAGGATGCAATCAGACAAAGCTGGGCTTCTCCGGGGTCAGACAAGATATAGACACGTCTTCGATGGCTTGGTGCAAATAATAAGGAAAGAAGGCCCCCTCAGCGGCCTTTTCCGAGGCGTTGGTGCCAATGCAACACGGGCAGCTCTGATGAATGCATCGCAACTAGCGTCCTATGACATATGCAAATCGTACTTCCTCCGCAACTTTAGCATGGGAGATAGTACGGCAAATCACCTGGTCTCTTCAGCTGTGGCGGGCATGGTCGCAACAACAATATGCTCTCCCGTGGACGTGGTGAAAACGCGCATTATGAGCTCGTCGGGTCCGCAGGGGGCTTGGAATGTTTTGCGGGCCTCTACGTTGAGAGAAGGGCCTGCTTGGATATTCAAAGGATGGTTTCCAAGTTTCATGCGTTTAGGGCCACAAACTGTTCTGACGATGATGTTTTTTGAGCAGCATAAGAGTATGTACTCGAGGTTTCACTGTAATTTAGCCAGCAAGACGCCCTCACTATGACGAGCTATTGGAGAATGCAGCGGAGCGTCAAGCTCATCAGCGGCAGGCTAGCAGAGAGAATAGATCCAACTTGCTTCAGAGGTCCAGATTTCAGTAGCTTCTGCCATTGAAGCAATTGCATGAACATATTTACAGGTGAAGGATCGCTCGGAAGCAAGATCTTGAGCGGGATCCAAGCATCGCTCTAGAGAACGGGGGGTCAAGAGCTTGGCTATCATGTCATGTCACTTAACGGAGCGGGGGTGTGACTACAGCTGTGAAGAAGCAAGATATTTAAGCTCATGCGCCGCTGTATTCCGAAGATACGAGCACAGGCGACTAGATGGCTGCTGGCCACTATAACGCAGCCCAGGCAACGGAATCAGATCCGGCGGGTCCTTGTAGACGCATCCACCTTCTTGCTACCCCGGATTTGTCCCCCGTGGGGTCCCCTGTATGTAGGTAGAATCGCGCACCAAGAAAGCTTATAAAAGAAGATAGCTTGGCCTTCACGCTTCAGTTGCTAGAGAGCAATCCAATTGCAAATGCCATTCTAGAGAACAGCCGCCAGCTATGAACGAAAAACCCGAGGTCTCACACAGCGAGTCCCAGAAGTCTGCTGGCTTTGTGACGGCGCTCCCCGACACTCTTCGGAGAGACGGTGGTTTGTTGCTGGATGCCGAGGGTCTCGAGAGGCAAGATGAACAAGTTTCTCTCAAGTTTGCTTCTGATGGACATGTGAGCTGGTTCCTCTTGGCAACATAATCTAAGGACGTCATCTCTAACTCTTTGTCTCATATAGACGGTGCTCCTCCCTCAACCCACCGATCACACCTGTGATCCTTTGAATTGGTCGTGGACCAAAAAACATCTAGTTCTTTTTACAGTTGCATGGGCCGCATTGACAGCTGATGTCACCGCGGCAGCTGGGTCGGCCATTATCTTCCCCCAGGCTGCGCAGTGGCACATCACTCCTGGTCGAGCAAATGATCCCAACGCCATAGCGGTCCTTCTCAAGTAAAGTATTTCCAAAAGTGATTATCTAGCGAAATACGCTTACAAGTCTGATAGTGGTATCGGTGGTCTGATCTGGGTGCCAGTGAGCTCCATCTGGGGCCGCGGGCCGGTACTCTTCTGGACAACCGTCTTCGGCTTCGGCTTCCAGATCGGCAGCGCATGCTCGACCGAATACGAAACCTACTACGCTATGCGAGTCGTCTCAGCCTTGTTCCTCACCAGTGGCCAAGTCATATCTATTGCTTTTCTCAAAGACATTTTCTTCTTCCACGAACGAGCTCGCAAGATCGGTCTCTGGGCAGTGCTCTACATCGCCTCGCCCTATCTTGGACCCTGTCTCGCCAATTTCATAATTGCGGCGACGCACCACTGGCCACATGTCTACTGGATGTGCTCTGGGTGCGCTGGCATCCAGCTTCTGCTCGTGCTAGCCTTCGCGGACGAGACATGGTACAATCGCGATGTGCCTGATTCACAACAGCCCGCACGGCCTGGAGGCCTGGGACGATTATGGAGACTGGCTGGCGTCTGGGGATTCCGGCACCATAGTGGTTACTTCCCTTCGACTGCCTCCGTTTGTAAACGTTTCTTCTCGACAATCACAAAGCCCGCCTTTTTTCTGATATGCTTGTCATAGTAGGTGTCTAGCTAAGCACGACTTGTATGATTATCGGCTGACTGGTTTTCTAGCTTCCTCTGCTTCGCCTGGGCAATTGGCATCAATATCTCAACGAACCTCCTACTAGCAACACCTCAAGAAGCTGGCGGCTATGGCCTATCTACCACCACGATTGGCTACGTCTACTTCGTCAATATCGGCGGTGTATTCATTGGTGAACTTTTCGGCCACTTCTTTAATGACTACATGGCACGTCGCTACGTAAAGGGCCATAATGGCGTTTTCGAATCCGAGGTCCGCCTCTGGACTGTCTACGTCTCCGTGGCACTGATGATCCCCGCGCTCATACTCATTGGCCAGTCTTTGGAGAATACTCTACCGCTCGTCGCTGTCATCTTCGGTCTGGGCATCTTTACGACTGGTGTCATGATCAATTCCGTGGCTGTCACGGCGTACGCGCTGGACTCGTATCCAACAGTTCCGGCGGAACTTAGTGGATGGCTAAACTTCGCGAGGACGGTCGGTGGGTTCGCGGTGGGCTATTTCCAGCAGCCGTGGTCGGAGAGAGTCGGTGCGGATGCGAGCTTCGGGACGCAGGCTGCAATCGTGGCAGTTGCAACTATTCCGGTAATCGTGGTCCATCGCTATGGTGCAGGGATTAGGCAGAAATACGGGTCAATTGGCTAGAGAACATAACATAATCAAATCTGAAGATGGGAAAGGGTGGGTGGACAAACTTAGAGGGCTGTGGCTAGCTGCAGAAGTGTACTTCCTGTTGGAGGGAGTTACGTGTTCTCACCCACGCTAGTATGATTAGCCTACCCTATAGCTCCCCCAACGTCAAAGGCACGCATCACCGTAGCTAGCATAACCTCTGTGTAACAGCAATGAATACGGATACACCTAATAGAAACAACCCTACGCAAGCACTTCCCTCTATGTCTGAATATATCTAAAGGTTTACCGCGTTTGGCGTTGTAAGGTTTGGCATGGCATCCGCCCCTTCTCAGCAGTTGGAAGATGACCCTCCGCAGGGGGGCATTAGGTGAAATGAAGATCTTGGTCACCGCGTTCACTAGCTAGCTACGGAGAAGAGTCGCCAGTAATGACCAGATTGTCTGAAGCTAGTAGATGAAAAGACATTGACTTTCGCAGTTGGCGATGGATGATTTTGCCCGATTTACTTTTTGATGAAATTGTAGGTTATGACTGAAACAGAGCGAAGTAGCTAGAGATATAGTTTGCATCAGACATGCACCTGTCACATACGACCATACCCATTCGAGAACACGCGATCCCGTCCGCTCTCGCCTAGTTAAACGGATGAGGGGTGGATTAGTAGTTGGGTCGGTGACGACCAGCGAATACCCGCTGTTGTATGTGTTTTCTTTTTGTCATTTAGTGGTAGAGTCTTGCGTAGGGTTTCTAGCCCTCACGATAGCTTCACCTACCACATACGACCATACCCATTCGAAAGCACGCGATCCCGTCCGCTCTCGCCTAGTTAAACGGATGAGGGGCCGATTAGTAGTTGGGTCGGTGACGACCAGCGAATACCGGCTGTTGTATGTTTTTTTTCCTTTTTATTTTTCTCCCTTTCCTCGAATTATTGGGTGCTTGATATTCATGGGTGTGTTCTTTTCTCTGAAATTGTTGCCAAAGTTGGCCATCTTGGAACGCCCTGTGCCCCCAGGGGGGACGTGACCGGCGTTAAACAATACTACTACTACTATTGGCCATCTTGGAGAGAAGGCGCGGAGATCAGGTCCTGTAATCCTCGCCGTCTGGAACGGAGGCTACGCATGTGTCAGCGCAAGTGCTCTGGCCAAGGGGCTACTGGTCCTCACTAGGTTGCTTTAAGCTTGGTGTCTGGAGTGTGCATTGGATAGAAGATGTGTGTGACGTTGTGTGTGTGATGGACAGGTACATGTGTGAAAGAGGGAGGTTGGACAGGCGCCTGACGCGCGGCTCGTCCTGACGGCAAGGGAGTTATTGGCATGAAGGATTATGGTTTTTTTCTTCCGTAGAGCTGTAGCCTTCGGCTAGCAGAGCTTATTTTTACCTTTTGTATTCGTTGTGTTGAGATATCCCTCTTCCATTGCTTGTTTTTTTTACTTTCTCAAACTCTCTCACTCATGTTTATTTATTTTGAGAGGCTGGGTCTAGCGTCTTCTATTGCTGTTTTTTTTCTGTATACTCAAACTCTCTCCCCCGCGTTTATTATTTTGAGAGGTTGGCTCAAGCATCTTCTATTCCTGTTGTTTTCTGCACGCTCAAACTCTCCCCCCAGCGTTTATCATTTTTGGGAGGTTGGGTCAAGCATCTTCTATTGCTGTTTTTTCCTGTGTACTCAAACTCCCCCCCCCCCCGCGTTTATTATTTTGAGAGGTTGGGTCAAGCATTTTCTATTCCTGGTTTTTTCAGTGTACTCGAACTCTCACACGCGTCAAAGTTGGCCATATGTGACGAACCACTAACTGAGAAGAGGCTGTTAGTCTCGCGTCTCTCTGACAGGTCCCTTTGTTATTGATATCGCGATGGGTTTCTAAGTTCAACCACGAGAACACAAGGTTTCTTGAATATTCCTCAGCTTCGGCGACGAAAAACAATGAGGCTGATGATGTCAAACATGAGTCCATTGTCTCAGGTCGAGACCAGTTTAAAATCCCCGGGCCATCCCCCTTCAGACTCCTGGATTCCATCATCATCCTTAAGAAATTCACCACATCTTTGCAAGACATCTTTCTGTGAATCTACCGCGCCAACATGAAGCTGCAAATCTTCCTTTCCGCTGCCCTCCTCGGAGTAGGAGTCGTCGCACGCCCGACCACCGCGACCTTTGTTAAAGTCACGCTGGAAGAGCCCCAGAATTGGATTGCCGGCCCTAGTCTGTTCCCAAGCAACGTGCTTGCCGGCTACAGCGGTGACTTTTGCGACTACACCGCCGACACTTGGGCGCAATTTGTGCTCGACAAGTGCAAGACGTTTGACGCGTGCACATCCGCCCTGGCATTTTCAGGTGGGTTCCGGGAATGGCCCTTCTCCCCAAACAAAGACGGCACCTAGCTAACCAGTTTATTGTTTACAGCCCTCAATTCGGGCAGCCCAAGGACCAGGGGTTGGTTCGGATATGCGTTCAAGGGAGGTGCCACCACCCAGGCGGACTACATCAGGGCCGAGGATGTGGAGAAGTCCGTGGCCTACAGCGTTGTGAAGCAGTAGACCACTCGAAAAGAATGATATATAAAGTGGGAGTTTCTATATCTTATTATTCTCTAAAAGTTGATATGTTATTCATCCAGAATTTGGTATCAGATCGGAAGGCAGACAGACCCATGTCCACAACCACCAATCACGGACTTCATCGATCTCCCCACAGGGCCTCGGCCTTCGGGAATCGTATGTTTCCGAGCTTGGAGGTTGTCCCATAGATTTCTCGCAGCAAATTTCAATTGACAGACTTTCGATCCCAATGCCAAACCCGCCAATTGGTCTGTGACTTTGTGGTGCCTCTCTTCGCAGCATTCCCCCCTCCATTACGTAGCCATGCCGAGCCCGTCCGAGGGCCAGGCGAATGGCAGCACCATGAGGGACCAAGGCAAAAGGGCTGATCCCGTCAGCACTACCACGACGGCCGCCGCCGCCAACAAGGAGGAGGAACAACCTGCCGATGGCGCTACTACCGGCCCGGGCCTCCATTTAGTCGTCAGTACCGACGCGGTCAACTACACGGGCATGCACATGAAGCCGTGGCGGCGCCGCCTGGTCATGCTCTCGCTGTGCCTCACCCTGTTCCTCGGAGCGCTGGACATCACCATCATCTCCACCGCGCTGCCCACCGTCGCGCGGGAGCTGCACATCGACGCGCAGCAGTATGCCTGGGTAGGGAGCGGGTACAACCTGGCCAACACGGCGTCGATGCTGGTGTGGACCAAGGTGTCGGATATCTTTGGCCGGAAGTCTATCATCATGGTGGCTGCTTCGTTCTTCATGGTGGGCAGTGTAGTGTGCGCGCGCTCCGTCTCGAGCACAATGCTCATTGGTGGCCGGGTCATCCAAGGGTTGGGTGGAGGAGGGTCGTTCGTGCTCACGACGGTCATCATCAGCGACATCTTCCCGCTCGAGGAACGCGCCAAGTATTACGGCATGACGGGGATGGTCTGGGGTATCGCCGCTGCTATTGGTCCTATTCTCGGCGGTGTCTTCGCCCAAGAGGCGGGATGGAGATGGTGTTGTAAGTCTTCTCAGCGTGCCTTCTGTTTATGATTTGGCTAACATGCCTGCGTTTAGTTTACATCAACCTGCCAGTAGATGGGATTGCCTTGGTATTCATCTTCTTCTTCCTCAAGGTCGACATCAAGAAGATTCCCTTTGTCGAGGGTATCCGCAGCCTGGACTGGACCGGTTTCGTCCTCGTCATTGGCGGCACCATCTGCTTCTTGTACGGTCTTGAAGTCGGCGCGAGCAACCTGTCCCCCTGGAGCTCTGCCAAAGTCATCTGCCTCATCCTCTTCGGCTTCATCCTGCTCGCTCTCTTCCTGGTGTGGGAAGCCACCATGGCCAAAGTCCCTATCATCCCGTTCCGCGTTTTCCAAGAGCGGAACAACGTTGCCGCGTACGCTGTCGCATGCCTCCATTCCTTTGTCTTCATCTCGTTTGACTTTTTCCTTCCGCTCTACTTCCAGATGGTTCTAGAATTCAAGCCAATCATCTCTGCCGTCACCCTCTTTGCCCTCATCTTTCCCCTCTCGGCCGCCACCATGTCGGGAAGTGTCATCATAAGAAAAACGGGCTACTACAAGTTCCTCATTGTCGGGGGCTCAGCCATCATGTGTCTTGGAAACGGCCTCTTTATCCTCCTAGGCCCCACCGTTAACTGGCCCAAAGTCATCCTCTTCCAGATCGTCGCAGGTCTCGGTGCAGGCGGCATGTTCCAGAGCCCTATGATTGCGCTGCAGAACTACCTGCGGCAGCGTGACACGGCAATGGCCATGGCAGCGTACAGCTTTCTGCGCAACCTGTTCACGTCCGTATCTATCGTCATTGGCACGGTGCTGATGCAGAGAAGCATGAAGTCGGGGAGTTTCGTCACCAGTGGAGGCCAGGGCGGGGTGGACAAGACTGAGTATGTGAATGCGTTGCATATCATGTGGGCTTTCTACACCGGCGTTACCGGACTGTTGCTCATCGCTGGGTTGTTTATTCGCCAGAAACCAGTCACTCCTCGTCCTGGTTCAGGAAGTGACGCTAAGACGACGTCGAAAGTTGGCCCAGGCGATGATGTTGAGAGACTCCCTGTCCGGACGGACTCAGGTGATAATGTTGAGAAAGCTTCCCAGCCTGATGTTCGCAATAAGGAGACTTTGGAAACAAAAGAACCTGTACGAGAAAATTAGATACTGTTTGAAGTAATAGTGTATATTAATTTTGACTCATAAAACGAGAGCCTGCATACATCAGAATCGTTACCTTCTTAAACCTTTATCTGTTTAGCCTGGTTGGCGGGCTTCAAGATAGCTGATTACAGAGATTCTATTGCAACCACACAAATGATCCTTCAACTCAGAGAAGCCCCATCTCGAGCCAAGGCCCAATCAACGATGCTATCAGAGTTCAACACATCACCATCCAGAATATCCTTGGCCCAGTACAACATTCTCTCATAGTTATGGTAATGCTCCATCCACAGTTGGAGCTCATGCCACATAGTGAAGTCGCTCAGTTGCGCCTCAAGATCATACTCATCAAGCAGCCGATGGAAGAACTCCGTTAGCTGAGCGAATCGCTCTCTCAGGATTCCCATCCTCTCTGCGTCAGACTGTAGAGGTGTACCTGGTCCGCGGAACACGCCCTTGAGACAATTTCTCAGCTCAGCTTTATCCTCTCCACTGAGAGTGCGGTAAGGCTGCCCATTGCCGAGGGACATGCGCATCAAGAAAAACCCGCGTTCAATTTTCTGGACCATGTAGATGATTTTCTGAGAAAGGTGAAAGCGCAAGCCCGTGATGAGACGCCGCCCTAGAGTGTCTCGGCCCCGCCTCTCCGCCGTACAATGGTTACAGAGGGTGAGCTCCGAAGAGAGTTGGGCCTGGATCTCAGGTAGGTTGAGTGGATAATCTACGCCAGGCAAGTTCAGGACGCTGTTGGCAAAGATAAAATCCCGCCATTCTTGCCAAAGTGCACAGCCGGGGCATCGGAGCATGCACATGGTCCAACTGTAGTCGGTTCGAGCGGGATTTAACCATCGCAGCACGGGCGGCGCGGGAAGTGGCCGTTCCTTGCCCAACGTGTCCAGGTAGCCTGGGAAATATCGCTCAATGGCATCGGCGAACAAAACTCTCCGGCTCATTTGTATGGGAGTTGTCATGGATCCGGTAAGGGGGTTTCGCCTACGGCCAATGTGGCCCATTTGGAAGCGGCACTCGTTGCATCGGCGAAGATGGCGCTTGTCGCCCCAACGCACCAGCTCTCGCTTCTTCTGGAGGTCTTCGGATAGATTGAGAACTCTAGTCGCTTCCTGCAGATCACTTTCCCAGCCGCCATCATCATCGTCGTCTAGATTGAGCCCTGACGTGTCGGTGGCTGTCTGATCATCGCGGCCCTTGTTAGATTTGGGTCTACGAGGCCTGGCCCGTGAGGGGTATCGGGGCAAGTCCCATGATGTGATGGGGCTATGAGCAGGAGTCCCAGGGATGGGCTTGCGGTACCTAAGCTTGAGCAGAGAGTGGTTGTCAAAGTTGATGTGTGAGAGAAGCCTCATACATCCCACGCAAGCCCATCGCCTGCCTACCAGGTCAATGTCCCGCGGAGAGCTTCCTCTCCGGGTGGGAGACTGAGTCCCTCCGGCGCCAGGCAAGGACAACCTGCCCCCGTATTCAGGTCTGGTTTCTAACTGGAGCAGCCGTTCTCCAAGCTCTATTTTGCCTGGGTCGATGATCCTTCGGAAGTAGGAGTTTGCCTGCGCAAGCGACATGACGCCAATGGGGTCCACAAGGCGGATGACGCAGCGCAGGATCTCAACAGGTAGGGACTGCAGGCCCGTCAGATGGTTATCCGCTTCCATGATGCATAGAACCCGTGGGTATTATTTCAGGCTCTTCAGCAGCTCTGGGCGAAGGCGGAATCGAAATATGCAGATGCAACTGGCATGGCTGGGTAGATGGTTATTCTTCCACGTTTTATAGAGCTCAGACATTCCTTAGTCAGCAGCTTTGCATCTCTGTAAGCTCCTCGTTGCATCGGGGGTAGCGGCGTGATCGAATGGTAATTCCAAGCCCCAGGTTTCATTCTGATACGAAGAATCGAGAATTGATGCTCGAACGAGGCCATCCTGGTGTTCAATGGTGGCGTAATAGTAAAGTGACGACGAGAGTATATCGCCGAAGTCGAACCACGGCAGAGCGTGACGTCGATGCCATTGAAAGCGGGCCAAGGAAGAAAACTCTCCCTTGACATTATATGAAGAATATCAGTTAGGTGGTTTCTTTCTCAGCTGCATATCAGCTATTGAAATAGGAGTTCAAATGAGTTGGGGAGGAATGAGAGGAATGGCATTATTACCAGTTGGGGGCTGATAAATTGATTTCTAGATTTCAGTCTGTTCAAAAGCATCCCCACACTGTCTCTTGTACACAGGTATCCTACAGGTTACAAGCGCTTGTCTACTTCGGCCAATGACGCTCTTAATACTTGGGCCAGCCAGTTGCTTATGACGTGAAGTGGAGTTGATGTAAGCCCGATGTGATGCAATCACACAATATTGTGTAGCCTACATGCAGACAGCCATTTTGTAGTTCGGATAAGTACAAATATCATCCAGACTCACAGATTTTCTGCCGCCAGACCCAGTAGAAGTGAATCTATACTCATTTCTGGCATGTTTGTGAGCTGCAAAGCCAACACTAATTATTAAGGGGAATGCGTAGACTCGGACCTTCTTGGGCAAAACTCATATCTGTCTGTGAAGCCGAAAGGCCACTGTGGGGATATACGAAAAAAAAAAAAAAAAACAGCTACGAGGGCGAGCAACTCGGTAGGCCATACAAAAACGAGTTTCGATTGAGGATGCCAAGGGATAAACAACCAAGTATTTTGAGCGTAATTCCAGGACATCGCGGACTCCTCCATCATGATGGGCAGCCACTTAACCCTTCCCTGGCCGGCATTATGATTGGTTATGTATATATGCAAATATACAGTAATGGATGTGCATTTTTCAAATTCGTCACGTTTTGTTTCCGACGTGGCTGTCAGACTCAGCCGCTCCAACCCCGCCTATTATGCTGCCTGATCCCCTCACTTCTTCTTCGTTTGATTTCAACTGAAGCCCTTCTCTTGGTACATGCTTCGCTACCCATATCATGGCAGAAGCATTAGGGCTCGCTGTCAATTGTTTGACGGTCATCGACCTCACTGTGAAGGTCGCTTCGAAGCTCTATGACTATGGCAAAGATGCAGCAAACGCCCGGGATGACATCAACAGGCTCCGCGACAAAGTCCTCAGCCTAGACAAGATTGCGCGTTCAGTACAAGCCCTCCTCGATCGTCAGGGGGATTCCAGCAATATCCCAACGATTGAGTTACTAAGGCAAGGTGTCTTCGGCACCGAAGAGAAACTGCAGCAGCTGTTTGATGCCCTAGACATTCGAGGCGCGCGGCGACCAATGCGGATGCTTGGAATTCGTTCATTGAAATGGCCATTCAATAGTCAAGACGTAGAGAAAATTCTTTCCGATCTTCAGGGTTGTTTTCAGATGCTCTCTCAGTCGCTGCAAGTGGATCAAACGTAGGTCGCACCCATCATCATGAAGCTAGGGAGCAACTGACTCAATTTCTCCCCAGATCCTTGCTACTCAGCATCGATAGAAGGTCAATTCTTGATCGTATTCCTTATGCACAAGATGCTGCGTATAACTCAAGAGTGGAGGATCGGAATCCTACTTGCCACCCTCAAACCCGCTCTGGTATTCTATCTGATATCCGTAAATGGATTGATGACCCTCATGCAAAGAGCATATTCTGGCTTAACGGCATGGCGGGGACTGGAAAGTCCACTCTATCTCGGACAGTCGCCAGATCTCTCGCCCAAACAAGGTCTCTTGCTGCTAGTTTCTTCTTCAAGAGAGGTGAGAGCAACCGAGGTGACAGCGGCCTATTCTTCAGCACTCTTGCCTTTCAGCTTGTATCAAGTGTGCCAGGATATGGGCAAGCTCTCAAAGAAATCCTCGACGAGAATCCAAGCTTGATGAATAAATCCTTGAGGGATCAGTTTAACCAGCTCCTGGTTGAACCGTTATCCTTGGTACCCAAACATACGCCAAATCCGACACCATTCATTCTCATTGTTGATGCTTTAGATGAGTGCGCCGACGATAATGATATACGTATGATTATTCATCTTCTATCGACCACAGAAGCGATATCAAACAGTTCTTGGCGGCTAAGAACCTTCCTCACAAGCCGACCCGAATTGCCCATCCGCCTTGGGTTTGGTGCTATTCGTGGGACATTTCAAGATCTTGTCCTTCATGATATTCCCAGCTATATTGTAGAGCGGGACATCTCAGTCTTCCTACAAGATGAACTGGCGAATGTTAGATTCGATTATAACCTCACTGTCCCTCAGCATCGACAACTGCCCCTGGACTGGCCCGGCCAGGCTAGGATTAAATACATTACGGATATGGCTTCGCCATTATTCATTGCGGCTGCCACCGTTTGTCGATTCGTCTCAGATCGTAGGATTGGAAGTCCAGAGGAACAATTGGCCAAGATTGTGAACTTTTCAAGCGGAAATGAAGCGTCGAAATTGGAAGGAATTTATTTGCCAATCTTGCGTCAGACCTTAGCCGGGCTTTCCGTTGCCGAACATGATATAGCACTCTCTGACTTTCGCTCTATCGTTGGAACCATTATTCTTGCATACACTCCATTATCAGCAAGAGGACTAGCCAATATTCTACAAATGTCGGAAGGAAAAGTAGAGAGCCGGCTTGACCTTCTCCATTCGTGCCTAAACGTTCCCCCAGAACCTGAACTTCCTGTCCGTCTTCTTCATTTACTCCTTTCGAGATTTCCTGGTCGACCCAAGTAGGAAGGACCAAAGTGTATTCTGGATAAACCAACAAGTGACACATTTTGACATTGCAGAACGCTGTCTGGACATCATGGATCGCCTCTTGCAGCGGGACATTTGCAGAACTGGCCGCAATGAGAGCTGTGTTGACTTCAATGACTTTCAAAAGGGATGGCCGGCGCCTGGGGAGCTGGAGTACTCCTGTCTCTATTGGGTAGACCACCTTATTGAAGCCAGAGAGCCTTTGAGAGATGATCACCGAGTTCATCGTTTCCTGAGAAGTCATCTACTTCACTGGATTGAGGCGTATTGCATCCTTGCCAAAACATCTGGTTTGTTAGCATTGATACAGGGACTTATAGACTTAGTAGAGGTAAGTGATAGTGCGGCATTCGTTTCCCTTTTGCGAGGTTGCTAAGTCGAGTCTTCAAAGTCAGCCAATGCGGAGGCTATTAAGAACTTCCTCAACGATAGTTTTCGGATTGTCAGCGCGAATTTGAGCATGATTCAAAAATACCCGCTCCAAGTGTATTCTTCGATGCTTCTCTTTTCACCTACGAACAGTATAGTTCGAAACACCTTCGCCTTCGAAATGCCGGGTTGTGTCAGTATCAGAACGAAACTCAACCTAGATTGGGACCCGCTCCTTATGACATTGAACTGTGATTGGGTATATGGTAAGATCCAAGCGCTTTCATGGTCTCATGATAATACATTCCTGGCTGCTATTTCTTGGTCTGGGGAGATCCAGGTCTGGGATGTTTTGTCTGGACAAAGACACCTCGTCCTGCAAGCGTTGGATAAAACGAGGATAGAGTTTTCTCATACATCGGAATATTTGGCAGCATCTGGAGTGAAAGAGATCGAGCTATATATAAAGGCTACTGGAGAGGCCGTTCAGACAATCGAAAATTCCGGATGCTGGGAATTTGCCAAAGATGCACCACTTCTCGCTACTACTTCCGACGATGGTGATATCACACTCTGGAAGGTCATTTCGGGCGCTCGTGGGTCTCCCCTTCTCCCAGTAAAGGTCTTTCGAGCTTCTGAACTCTCCATTTCTTGGATGAATGTCTATCAGGACGGGTTAACAATCGCTTCAGCATATCAAGACTACCAAGTCACGTTATGGCACTTCGCCGCTGACGCGAATGTTCCCGATGATGACTCAATACAACCGACATGCTTGGGCTCTATTTCAAGCCCCAAATCCTTTTTCAGAAACAAGTATGCGAAGATTATGCTCTCCCCCAACTCGCAGTTGATCGCTTTCATCACACCCGGATCTCTCTTGGGCTATAAAGTCGAAATCTGCTGTGCCACAAATGGGAAACTTCTCCAGACTTTTGAAAGCGACTACACTATCCAAAGCATTATTATATTTTCGTCAGACTCCCAATTTATCGCAAGAGATTCGGGAAAAGGGACTATAGAAGTTAGGCCCAGCGCTGGAGGGACAACTGTGATGAGCCTCAGCCATCGAGGAGCCACATCTGTTGCATTTTCTCATGACTCGAACAAATTGGCGGTAGCACGGCATGGTTCAGTGCAGATATTATCCATCTCTCAGACAAGGTTGATTAAGCGAACAGAAAGGCGCCTAAAACCTATCATCTGTATAGAACTTTCGCCAGACTCCTTAGTTCTCGCCACAGGAACGAGTGAGGAAGAGATTGAACTCTGGGACACAATCACCGGAGTTCATAGACAAACTTTAAGCGTCAAGCCAAGCACAGTTCGCTTTTTAGCATTCTCTCCAGACTCACAGATACTGGCCTGTTGCGGCATACAAGAGATAAAAGTCTGGAAAGTCGACACAGGGGAGTGCATAACGCAGAGGCAGGTGGGCCTAGAAGAGTCTCTTGAAATTAAAGAAGTCTATTACCAGCAGCAAAAGCGACTATGTCTAGTGCCTAGCTTCCATGGTCCTGGTCTAGAATACCCCTTCCCGTACGACATAAGGTATGACTTCGGAATAAGGCATCTCGAAACCTTTCAAGATTACAGTCTCCTCTTTGGCAACCTGGAATATGTAGCCGAAACAAAAGATTTGATGCTTTACCTCGAACAAACCTCAGATGCCTGGAAGGTCAGCGTTCTACGTCATTCTGATGGAGGGTGGATGCGACGAGGACATCAATTAGAGACTAAAGAACCACATACAGCAAAAATAAGTAAGAACGGCGAAGTTTTGCTTATTTTATCCTCATCAACTCAGATAATCATCCAGGATCTTTCCAGGGGCCAGACTTTACTTAACGCTTTCCTATCTACATCTAAAAAATCTAGATACTCGATAAGAAGCATGCAAGAGACGAGGATTCCTTCTCGGGATTGCTCCTGCCCAAGATTCGTGTTTGGGCTCATGCCTTGGTTTGGGATACCCTCTTACCAGTGGCGTACCGTCGATGTATGCGTGTGTTATCAACGATTTGACGTGCCACAGATTAATGAATTGCTGGATCACATTACGCCCTTCGTGATTGAAAGAAATTCAGATGGCAACGACATTATGTATGGAATTGGAACTGACGGCTGGCTCCTAATGAACTCCAAGTTTCTACTGAATTTTCCTCCAAACTATCGCATAAAGACATCACCCCGGAACAGAGCGCTGGCTTCCATCTCTGGTCATCTTGTGGCAATCGCGACGACATCTGATGAAGTTCTTTGCATTCAAACTTCATCTGATGAGCTCCAGAGGTTCAAGAGTTTGGACTAGGGAACAGGAGGCGCATTTTTGGATACTTGGAAGGGCACTACACATATGTCCGGTATATAGGTAATTCTACACACATCCAGGCATACCGAAGATTCCCAGTCGGAACAGAGTTTTGAGCGAATACAGTCAGTTAAGATATTCCAAACGCTGAGTACTGGCTCCAGACGTTTCGTGCCGAAGATCAAGCCCCCAATACATCAATGGTTCGATTGACAAGGGTTGTCAACGGCTCAGTGGGAGTATTCGCCCAGAGGATTAGCCGGCAGAGCTAGCTCACCGCCAGTCTAATCAATCGGACGAAATGACGAGGAGTTGCGAATAAGTGAGGCGTGCTGACATGCAAAAGCAAGGACTTGGACCCTGAAAAAGACAGGCTGATTCTGCCTGGGCTGAGAAGTTCCGGGAAAACATGTATCGAATGCTAAAATTGGATGGGATGTCAAAGCAGCCAATCAAGGGACAAAAAGACCCGTGGGAGCTAAACTAGAAATGGACTAAACCGGCGGGCTTCAAATATCCAAAATCGGAAGATTTGATTTCTCTGTCATGAGTTCAACTAATGAACTCCCATCCCAGCAGAACATCCGATTCCCTTGGATTCTGCTCCATTCCGTTCTCACTCTATCTCACAAACGTCAATCTTCTTGCGATCAATACTCTGCAATTAGCCCAACTACTGCAACATGACCGTCATTCGTAAAGCATGCCGCAACTGCAACCGCTCTAAAAGAAAGTGTGACGTCCAACTGCCGAGCTGCCATCGCTGTGTTCAAAAAGGACTCGATTGTGTGTATGATCTCGACCACCTAAATACAACCAATGATCATTCAGGAAAAACGTCCGACTTCTGGCTGAAGCTCAAAGACCACGACAGACTTGGTCACTGTCTGCTGAGAATCTCTCAGTCATGCGCTCCAGGCATAGATCCTCACATCGGATACCCCGGGAAGAAGGAGCCCTATGACTACATTCGGCTCGGCTACGCATCTATCCCGGAGATAATCAAGGAGAAGAAGCCCGCCATCTTCATTCACCCAAAGTTGCAGTTACATAGTACCCACGCGAAGCATCTGGCTGGTTTCGTAAGATCTGGCGTGGACGATGTGACCTTCCAGGACTTCAAGCGCCTAGCCCAAATTGACATCACCACCATACCCATTCAAGAAGCTTTGACTGCCTGCCAAGCTTTAATTATATATCTGGCAATGTACATTTTCTCCTCTGAAGAGTCGGAGCGCAAAGGAGCTGAAAGTTCTCTTGATGTGCTCTCTAAGTGGACAGATAATCTATATACTAGCGCCCTGACCTGCCAGCCAAACGGCCGATCTCCATGGCAGCAGTGGCTCTTCTGTGAAAGCGTGCGGCGTACCATCGTGTCGTCGTACGCCTTCTTCATGCTGTTGGATAACTTCAGGTTCGGGTACTGTACGAACTGGCTCTTCCTCGAATCTCTCCCCTTCGACCAGCGCCCCGGTCTGTGGATGGCGAGCTCGGCTCAGGCATGGATTGCGGCGGCGGGTGCTAGAACAGGCCCTGATGTTGGCGAGAGGCTGAGCTCTGTCCACGAATTTGCGCAGAGCTATGTGGGCTCCGACCCTGGATTTTGCGGCGATATGTTCATGACAATGCTTGTAATCAGTCATAATGGGTATAAAAGATCAGGGGCATAGACGCAGGTTGCCGGAGCTAAGCTACGTCTGGAAGGGATAGAGAGATCCGGCGATGCACCCGTGATCTGACAGTCGAGCTTTACCTCAGACCCAGCGGGGTCTAGTCTGCTTTGGGCATGTGCAGCAAATGGATATTGGCTTGCTACACTTGACGACACTCATCAAGCGTGTCATATGCCTCATTTCCGTCATTGACCAAGCCCCATAATCCTGCTTGCGTTTGTAAGCTTCCCAAAACGCAGTAGCTCCCGCTATGTCTGGGCAACAGATACAACATGAGCTGGACTCCTGGGGTTATAAAAGCAAGCTCACATCTCACAACAAGCTATCAATCCTTAACACAAGCTATCATCGCACTTCTATCTATATCTAAACTCACTCACGTCTCGTGACAACCCTCTCTTACCAATATGTCCTCGGAAAAGCCTCTTCTTGTGGTGTGTGGTGCCACCGGTACTCAGGGAGGCTCAGTTGTCTCGCACTTCCTCTCCAAGTCACCATGCCCATACACCATTCGTGGCCTCACTCGAAACCCATCCTCGCCGAAATCCCTCGCTCTGTCCTCGAAAGGAGTTGAGATGGTGGCGGCCAACTTCGCTGATCCCGCCTCACTCGATGCTGCTTTCGCTGGCGCGTCCTACATTTATGGTACCAATGATTTCTGGGTATTCTATGAGGACTCAGCGAGCAAAGAGAAGGCCAAAGCTGCTGGCAAGTCCCTCATGATTCTGAGCAAAGAGAATGATACCTTCGAGAACAAGAACATCATCGACGCGGCTGCCAAGGTCAGCACCCTCCAAAGGCTCATTATGAGCAGCCAGGCCTACACTGCGAAGGTCAGCGGTGGAAAGATTTCCAACTGCCACCATTTCGACGGCAAGGCCATCGCCGAAGAGTACCTTCGCTCAGACCACCCGAAGCTTTGGGAGAAGACGAATGTGATTTTCTGTGGGTTTTACTTGGAAAATCTCGTCAGAGCGGTCGGTGAGATGATGAGACCGAAGCTAGTATGTGCATTCTTCCTTCACAACAATTTTTCTTGAAGATTATCCTCTAACACTGAGTTATTTGAATCAGACCGAAGAAGGTCTTGTTCTATACATGGACGACGCTGTAGCCTCTGCTCCCTTTCCTTACTACTCTGCTGTCAACGACACTGGCCCACTCGTGGAAGCTTTAATCCGTGCATCGCCAAGCAACAGAGTGATTGGCGTCAACGAATGGTTGAACTTGAAGGACCTAGCAGTATTGATTGGTGAGGCGATGGGAAAGAAGGCTGAATTCGTGAATGAGAACCCAGTATTTGACATGGGAGGAGACGTAGAAAGAATGCAGGATAACCTGGAGATGCTGATGTTCGGTGTCGAATTTGGGTATGATGGCGGCAAAGTGGACAAGACTGTCGTTAAACCAACGGAATTGGGAGTTCCTCTAGCCTTACGTTCGGTGAAAGATTGGGTTAAGGATCAAGATTGGGCCAGTGTGTACGGGATCAAAGATGGCCTCTCCGCCTAGAGACTAGCATAAAGTAAGATCACCACTCAACTATTGATACTTTTCAACTCAATGACAAGATCAAAGGGGCCTATTCTGACTCTCAATGCAGTCTGACATCATCCTCGTAGCGTGTTACCTGTTCTATAGTAACATTTGAGTACAGGTATAATAGTTAAAGTCGCCGTCCCTACATAGCGACGAGCATGGCTACCCAGATCATCTCGTAGTATGTTGCTCTTTAACTGCTAGCTGGATACCAATCTTTCACAGATGAGTGCTATCCTTATCCAAGCATAGTTTCTAATTTCATATCCCACATAACATCCACCCAGTGAACCATGGTGATGTCCTGAACCGTGCTCCGTTGCTTCCGCTCGGCCAACATATCAGCTTTTAGCCATACATGCTCCATAATCTTTATTCCGCGATCTACCGGGTCCAGTCCAACGTAGCGGTCTAACATCTTCAGTCTATCGATTACCACGGTTCTCCAGTGCAAAACAACAGCTTTCCTGCTGAATAAGGAGGCGACACCCTGATATGCGTTTCCTGTTTCCGGAAGAATGCTCGTATTCTCTTCGGTAAGATACTGCAAAGCGCTACCAGAAATTATAAGAGCGGGTAATTGAATGGCTCTTGTGCCCGAGGATTCAGGTAATGAAGATAAAAGAGTCAAAATATTAGTCGCAAGACTGACCATCACCCCAAACCTTTGGCTTGCTGATTCCGTAGTAGATCCGGCGATTGGTATGCCTCCCGCGTCATATAAAATATTTTTTCCATCGCCCACTAATTCGGGAAATACTCGAAATAATTCCAGAATAATAGAGAGCTGATATACCTGGGCAATGGTCTGAAAATGGTGCATCGGCGTCTGGGTGTCACACGTTTCTTCGAACTGCTCGGCAGGTGGTGTCTTATACTGCCGGACATTGTCGATGACACGCCTTGCGCTCCTCAAAAGCGTAGCTCTGAATGTTCGTTTGGTATCGTCTGAAGATGATTCCGTGCGAATGCGATGCACCAGGCGTTCTTGGCGAGTGATAGATCCTGCCTGGGCCATGTACACAAATAATGGAGTACTGATGCCCGTCCACGGATGTGGTTGTGAGCCTTGAGATTCTACCCAATCACACAATGGAAAAAGATATTCAACTGCCGATGGCTCTTGATCGATGTGGAAAGAGGATATAGCTTCCCAATATGCTACAATTCCGATCATAAACCTGACTGTTGGAGAGGAACGACATCGATCTGTAGTGAAATAGTGCTCAAATGCAGAATCGTAATTCAGTGTCAATTCTTTTAATAGAGCACGTGCCCCGAAAAGAAACGACGTGTCGGTCGACGAGGCATCATGCCATGACTGCATGCCATCCTGTCAGTTCCCTGACGAGAGAAAATATAGAGTAAAAATACCTACAGAGGTTGTTCCAAGCAATATGGTGCCCAATAGAGCAATTATCAAGCGCGATTCATACCCAGATGGATTCTTACTCGATGGCTCCGAAATTTCTGAAGATAGGACAGATATCGCTGTCGTGCGATGCTGGAGTGCCTCTGTTGACGAGACATTCTGTCGCTGATAGAGATGAGCAGCGGACATAGAAAGCATGCAGTTTAGTATCAGGGGATGAGTCCAGATCATGTCGGCTAGTACCATGCGGAAGGGATTCTGAGGCGAGTCGAAACCGGAGTTTATAACGCAGACCAGAGAAAAATAATACCTGACTAGGCTATCTTCTCGTGAGTTGATCGATGATAGCGAGTGGCACGTTGGATTGATCTCATGTCTCAGCTCATTTTCGGGGTTTGGTTCACAGATCCTAATGTCGATATCGAAAGATTGTGTGTAGTCGGTTGGGTCAGGGACATGGCCAGGAGATGTCGTCATGAGGAACTCAGCACCAGACTGCTCGCCTACCCATCCCAGCCAACCCATATTGTCAGCATCTGGCAGGAATTCCGGCGGTGCATTCATCTCAGAAAGTCCTGTTCCAAATAGATCATGCTCTTGACCTAATATGGTCCCTACAGGCTCGCTCACAATGCTCCTCGGCGACGAGGATACCGCCTCGCGAGGCATAGACGCGGCCTCAGCAACCAATACAGCATGAAGTCGTAAAGCTCCCTCTTCGAAAACGTTCCAGAAGGGTTCCATGCTATCTCCCGCCGCCGAACGCTGAATTCCACTTCGGAGAACCTCGTGCTTTCCTGACCACTTGACCGACCTGCGGTACCCCGGGCAATTGGCGCCACCTCGGAGGCAATTTAAACAATTGGGTACTGTCTCGTCGCATTTGACACGCTAGAATATCCTGTGAGCACTTGCTATCGTCCAAGCGTAGAAGATCACATACCCTTTGCTTGCATCGAGCACAGCCCGCTGACACCATGGCAGGTAGTTAGCGCAGCTCAGATAGCCCAGTGCCAAGAGCCTAGGACTGCGAAACTTACAGCGAGACTTCAGTTTGCTTTTGGTGGTCGACATTCTGCCTGGGTTGGAGGTGACAGTATCCTTCGTGCTGGAAAAGCAAGGAGTTAGGCCCATGGGGTGGTGATCACTCTTAGCCTCGGAATGTCGGAAAGAGGCCGAGACTTCTCCTGATAAGAGAAGCGGGCCATTGGCTAGCAATCAATCTAACCCAGGCTTCTCCTGATAACACAAGCGGACCTTTACTAGCAAATCCCAGACCCCTCCCGTACGAGTCAAGGCGTGAACCTTGTCGCAAGCCAGTGGTTGCTGCTTTCATGTTGCAAATGGAGCTTGGTGCCACTCAAAGCTGAATCCTTGCTCTGGAATACTCTCCCCGCATCACTCAGTTTGATGTAGAAGCGGCAAGCTTACACATACGTAATTACTGCCATTTGACGTGCTGATATTTTATTTCAAACTGTATCTGCCGATATGAGTAGTGTACATGTCGTGCCCCAACATCTTTTCCATATCGTTGGCTTATGTTGCTGACGAACACAAACTATAGCAGCACACCATTTCCCCGGTGTCAAGATTGAATCAGCACGACAAGATTCATTACAATCTCGATGGCTTCGCTGGCGGAGAAAGTATCTCGGCTGAATTGGCTTCTGCAAGAATCGTAGCGTATGATCCGAAGCTCATGCGAACCATCCGCTGTGGCTTTGGATCCCAGCAGAAGAAGCGTCCCGTAGATCGCATCTTCTCAAGGTCAACCACCACCACCGACTCCACGGGCATGATGGTCTCGGTCCAGAACAGAAGATACAGGGATTCTCCCAGCTTCAGCATCTTGCACTCCTCGGCATCGGCCAAACCCTTTTCTGTTCCAGACAAGCAGTGCCAGGCCAAAGTACCCTGGTTCAGGTAAACATGCTCGTATGCATCCCGGGGGTTATAGCGGTACAGGATGTGTTTTCCGATCAACTCGTCTGTAGGCTGATACACCTCAACGGGAGTGCTGCCACTCTTGGTAGCATTCGTGAACTTGGTCCACGTCCTTCGCTCCCCAGCGGTGCCAGTAAACCCGGAGACTCCGACCACCGCCTGACCAGTGATGATGTCAACAACCAGGCTCACTTGTTCTTCATAAGCTGGTTTGTAGAAGTCTATGAAAAAGACGTTGGGGCGTACTTCGAATGCCTCGTATTCTGCATCGCCCTTGAGGCCCGTGTGGTCAGGCTTATCTCCCCCATCCACAATCTGCCATGTGAGATTCTTTTCATCGGAGAATGAGTGAGAAATGCGATATCCGTTATCAAACGCATGCTCAAATGACTTGCCAGCCAATTTATTCGATTTCTCCATGCGGTGCTCGCCATACCCAACGGCAAGCTCTTCTAGAGTCGGCCATTCTGAGACTGGGACATAGCCTGGATTTTCCGCAGTTGCGCTCATGTTGAAAAGAAGAAATAATAGCTCCGGATGAAGCAAATATGAATTGGGATTTTCGTCCTGGCGAAAGGTGGCAGATATCAAGAAAGTGATGTTAATAATTACACATGTGTTGTCCACGAGAGCCCAATCTTTATCTACTCACCTATGAACAATTGTTAAGACACAATTCGATAGCAACCCTGACGAGATTCACGGAACGCCAAACAGCCAAGCCACCAGACTCGCGGTAAATCTCCCCAAGAAGCTTAGAATTGGGCCCCAAGCCAAAACCCCCGTTCCCCACCTCGGTCTTCTCCTCCCAAAAAGGCACAGCGCAGGAGTGTGGATGCATCATGACTTCAATGTGGCATCTCCACCTCGCATTTTCTACCCGGAATCAGTTTAGTGTCTCTTTTCACGAACCTCCACTCACACGATTGGTGCAACTGCCCTCAATTCATCAACGAGCTAATACATAGTGTAGGGTCTTTGGGTAATCTCGATAGTGACCAAACATCGCGTAGTGTGTATGCCCCTGGATCCTTTGTTGGAAGTATACTATCCTGTAGAAATCAACCAATTTCTGATACCGACGGCATGGGTAGAATCAATGTCGTTAATCAAGGAGATAAGACATAAGTCCCAGAGAGATGTCCAACATCTGGGATCTTATAAATGAGTCCAACCCCCCTCAAAATCTTCGAATCCGTAAGACAAGACAAATATAGGGGTTCGAGCGGACCCCCAAATATAAACATTCACAATGAATGACGACTCCTCAATCATGAAGGGCGATGAGCTCAAAAAGACTGCATCTCGCTCTGAAGTTAGACATGCATCCATCCGGCAGAATCTCACGGATGAAGAGCGCCTGGTTCAGCTTGGACATCAACAAGAACTTCGCCGAACATTCTCTCTCCCAGCTCTCGGTGCACTATGCCTCTGTTTGATGGCGACATGGGAGGCACTCTCTACAGTAATCGCTCCCGCTTTGATTAGTGGTGGTCCTCCGTGTTTATTTTACAATTAGTATGTTCATGCAGTTGATGAATGATTGGAGCTGAGAATGGAGTAATAGCTGACTGCCCAGTGTCCTGTCGTTTGTCTGCACTATCTGTATCGCCGTTTCCCTTGCAGAGATTGCCTCAATCTATCCAACGGCTGGGGGTATGTGATTGATAGAGACCTTATAATAGTCATACAATACTGATGTCTTTTCGTCACAGGTCAATACCATTGGGTAGCGGCACTTTGTCCAGCCCCGAGAAAGGCTGCAGCGGCTTGGGCCACTGGCTGGATCTCAGTTGGCGGGCAAATCCTACTCACGGCCTCCTCTGCCTTTGCTGCTGGGCTCCAAACCCAAGCCTTAATCGTATTGAACGACGAAACCTATGTTCCCTCTCGATGGCAAGGGATGCTCTTCTACTGGGCGATACTAGTGTATGCTGGGCTTTTAAATGTATGGGGTAGCAAATTGATGCCTCATTTCAATCTGGTTTCAGGTGAGTATTTGCGCATCAGGCTGTGAACCTACTGCTGATACTTAATCAGGGGTGATTCATATTGGCGCCTTCGTTGGCATTATCATCACCCTTGGAGTCATGGCACCAAAGAATACCTCCAATTTTGTGTTTACCGAATTCGAGAACAATAGCGGTTGGGGCAGTGATGGGGTTTCTTGGCTTGTCGGGATGCAAAGTACCGTTTATCCATTCCTTGGGTATGTTACTGAATTCGAGATATACGATGAGCAAGGCATACTGACCAACCATCGCAAGTTACGACGCAGCATGCCACCTTGCGGAAGAGTTGCCGCACGCGAGCCGCAACGTCCCACTGGCTTTAGTTGGCGGCGTCCTTGTCAATGGCGTAATAGGCCTTGTCTATTGCATCGTTCTCCTCTACTCTACCAGCTCACTCGACTCACTATTGCAGACTCCAACGGGGTATCCGTTCATGCAAATCTATCTCGATGCCACCCAGTCGAGGGTCGGTGCGACGGTTATGTCTCTCACCCTGATTATTGTTGCTACGGCCGCCACCGTTGCTGGCGTGGCATCGACTTCTCGCACGCTCTGGGCTTTTGCTCGAGACAAGGCGACTCCGTTTGACGCGTACCTGAGTGTTGTCGACAAAAGACTTCAGGTGCCCCTCAGATCTGTGATCCTCGTCATCTTGCTGCAAGTTCTGCTCGGTCTCATCTATCTGGGGAATGCGACGGCGTTCAACGCGGTTCTCTCAATGGCTATTATCGGTCTATACCTTTCGTATATCTCGCCAATCTTTTTCATGGCTGTCTTTGGCCGCTCCCAGCTACGTCTTGAAGACTTCGGACCATTCCGATTGCCAAGAGCTTTGGGCATCGCTGCAAACATAATCAGCTTGGTATGGATGATCGTCGTCATGATCTTTAGCACGTTTCCGCTTACTCTGCCCGTGACGGCGCAAAACATGAACTACTCAATCGTCGTTGTAGCTGGGTGGTCCATGTTTGGACTCGTCTATTATCTCTGGGCCGGAAAACATAAATTTCAAGTCCCATTGACAAATTTGTCTGTCATTCTGGACACTATCCAAGTCGATGGATAGAGGGCAAAGACAAAATGGAAACTCCGCTTTTTCCCCTCCCGTATGTTGATACAGGTAGACTTATTGTATATTACTGGTAAAGGTAATGGTAAATCGGTGTCACTGGTGAGGGTGTTGGTATCATATTCAAGTGAGGCAATCACCTTTCAAAAAATGAAAATCACCGCAATGCAACCTTGAGACGTCAATTTGTGAGATACCGTTAGCTAAAAGTGCATTGATCACATATAATATACATATAACAAGAAAATAAAGTGGCTACTAATAACGGGAGGAGTGCATGATACCATATTGATCGTAGCCGAGACTTCGAGTTGAAGCCGAAACAATATAGCGAGTGGTCTTCGGGTTATTGGTAGTATCAACCCCCGTAGGGTGAAGGTCTTCCATGGCCTCCCTGTGTTTACTCATGGGCTTGTTATCTCGAAGCCGCTGCTTCTCAAAGAAGACATACCCGCAGTAGAATGCTTTGCTGGTGTTACCATCCATCACACCTTTATGAGCCAGAAATGCCTTCATTGTCTGCGGGTTGAGAGCGCCAGCACCCTCTGGGAGCATGTTACTCAGAGCCCGCGCAAAGGCTGCCTGCGTCACACCCTTGGCCAGGAGAGCTCGCATCTTTCGTCGCACCTCCCTGGGCGTTTCGAAGATGTCGACATCACCTTCTGCCTCTCCAAGAAGAATGTAGTCGCCTGTGTCAAGAAGACGCTCCATGGCATCGGATTTGTCCTTGGCGGCACTGTTGGTTGGCTTCTTCTTTTTGCTAGCTGCTGGCTTTGGCAGTTTGGGGTTGTGGAGCTGAAGGGGCAAGCCTTGCAACTCTCGTTTGTGGAAAAACAACGAGACCTTCTTGTAAACATCGCTCATTTGGCCAGAAAGGGGGCTTAAGAGAGACATGTAGGCCCAATAGTCTTCAGGATCGACTCCGATGGTCTTTTTGAAGTCGTCCTCCGTCTGGGCGCCAGACTGGATCCATGTGCGAATCTTTGTCCGGACTTGGCCGGGTGTGTCCGTGAAGGACAACAAGCGCGGATCGTTGTCATCGATTTTCTGCTCGTAAGCCGGGAACAGGACCTTTTTGACCAGGTCTGCGTCCATGCGGCCCAGGAAAGTAGCATGAGTTTTTCCGTCTTGCGTGGGCCCCCCTTTGCTAACATTAGGACTTCGCTCCCCCAGCGGAGGCACATCAGCAACGCGCTGGAGTTGGGTTTACTTCATTTTGTAAGGTTTGCCCGACGCTTTCAATACGGAGCTGTGTTGGGATGACGTAGAGTTGCCTGCAATATCGTGGAATGAAGCGGGGACGGTCTTCAATGTTTGTTTATTTGTGGCGGAGCAAATCGCGTCAGTCGCGTCTGCAGATCATTTGGTCAATGCTGAGACATGCCTACCCTGTACCGAGATGGCAAGCTTCCTCGGCCGCAAACCGCGGCTTATTACTTTGAATTCATAATAAACAGCGATGGGAAAAAGATAAAAGTTAATTGAAAGAATGATATTCCCAATTTCCGACCGCGCGTGATAGAGGCATGGGCTATAATATGAGTGTTGGTCATTTTCACAAAAAAACAACCGGCGTGAGAGCCCAAGATTTTCGAGAAAGATGAATAATTCAGTTCTTCATTTGAGGAAATAAAATTATAACTAAGGTAACTCCAGCTCAGCAAAACAATGGAGGACAGTTTAGTCAATTCTGGCGTGGTGACGTGACATATAAGCTAGCTCTTCCAATCTTTATTGTACAAGTAGGCCCTTACCAAATTTGTTTCTAGTATTTCCAAAATATCTGATAATCAGGTCTAAACCATTACCATCGACTGGAGAGCTGACAGATATACACATTATTTCCTCAAGAAATGTCTGGGGTTAATAAAATACGAAGAAGAAGGAGACAACCTTAAGCTTGTTTACTGCCTAAAGCTGCTGTCAGGTGTAGCTTCAGCTTCTAAATGAGTTGGGATTTATTCTGAAAATCAAGGCATGCATTTTTATAATTCGCCTAGTAGATTACTTTAAGCTTGGGGAGGAACGTCCGCGCACTCAAACAAGGTTGAGAAAGGGTCATCTGTCGACGAGGTAGCCCTCGTAAATTCCATGCCGTTGGCGATTTTGTTTGCGGACTCTTCACCATACTCAGATGCAACCCAGGCGAGCGTAGCGTCAATGCCAGCACTGACACCGGACGAGGTCCAAACGTTCCCATCTCGAACCCACCGTGCCTTGGCAACCCAATTGACCTTCGGACCGTGGGCAACACACTCTTTCCAGAGCGCCTTGTTCGTTGTGGCATTTTTGCCATCCAGCACGCCAGCCTGAGCCGCCAGCGAAGCCCCGTTGCAGACAGTAATCAATGTGCCAAGTTTCGGCACAGTATCGCTGATCCACTGCCTCAGTTTGGGTGTAGTCTCGAACCCACCGTATCCTCCAGGGATGATCAGTACGTCAAGTGCGGGGGCGTCTTCAAAGGTGTGAGTAGGCAGAACACTTTGTCCAGCAGAGTGTTTGCCCTTCTTGATAGTCGAAACCGGGTCCAGAGTTTCAGCAATTGTCGATAGTGTGATGTTATGCGACAAGGATATGTCATTCACCACCTCCATAGGACCAAAGGCATCCAAGGCTTCGAAGCCAGGGTACACAAGAAGGCCAAAGTGCTTCGGGTCTAAGTGAGGGTTAGCTATCGATTTATCATGAAGGAATATTTATAGCTTACGAGCTGATTCTGACGCCATTTGGAATGTTATATAAATTTTGCCAACCACGTTGCTGCGTGTAATAAGGGTGTTTATCGCCAGAAATTCCGAAGAGTCATTTGGTGACATTAAATAGAGGGTAGGGAGTCTATTTGTATCCGAGAGTAAGCGGCTATCGGAAGTAAAGTTTGCCCGTATATTTACCCACCCTGTCCCTGCTAAGCACTTTTGAATGGCATGCGTGAATTCACATAGGATAGAGCTAAACGGAGACACCACAAAAACGGCACAACCGCAACTTTAAGTTCATGCCTAAGCCCAGGCCCTAATCAGATCGAACTCTGATAGCTGTCTTTTATTTGCAACGTCCAAGGTTTCTCTCGTTTTGGAGTGGTCTGAAAACCATGATACATAAGCAGAGATGTGAAGTAAAGGGCGTATTTCGGAACAAGGGTCGCGACAAGTCGCGCCTGTGTCTCCAATGTAATGTGTGAGCGCATTTGAGAATGTATGGGGGAACAAAGAGGGGTAAATCGATGCCCCGTTATAATTTAGTTTTAGGCGAATATTGACTCACCCCGACATCTTTAAATAATATTTCAGCTTTGCCTCTTTAGTGAAATCGACCGGAAATATTTGACCCAAGACAATCCTCATAGCAATCCTTCACAGATGCTAGAAATCATGTTGTACGAAGATCCGTCGGGTATTTTCTGCGTGAAACTACTCTATCCGATCCCCGCCTTTTTGTGATCGTCTAAAAAAGGACGAGTATACCATCGTAGGCCCCAAAGTTATTTCAATGAGCTTTCTCTTTGGGGTCGCCGTTTCATAATTCTCGCTATAGCAACTCCCTTATACCTGCCCTTGAGTTATTAAAACTAAGTTTAGTTGGATTAGGTTTGCCTATCCTCATTCTCAACATATTGCCTACTTGGGGAGGAAGTCGGAGAAGGTTGCTCCGGTCTCTTATTTCAAACAGCCCTAACATGATATGTTCCCAGCTCAACTACCTTAGTAACAAGTGTTTGTATAGTTTATATTATATATTTATTATACAGATGAGAGTTTGAGTACAAAGTAAGAAACAGCAATGGAAGATGCCAGACCCGACATCTCAACACGATGAATTTATATATTTATGCTATTCTAGTAGGAGGATATAGGTCATTCATTAAGCTATGACTTGATATTCAGAAACATTTTCTACTCCTCTCGTTGTGCGTACTCTGCTTCGGTGACAGGCTCATGCCAATCTGTTCCTCCAGTCACCATGACAAGATGGGTCATGACAGACTCATCATCAGCCCCGTGCCAGTGGGTTGTGCCAGGGGACGCCCAAATGGTGTCACCGGCCCTGATACGCCTGGCTTTACTCCCTTTGTCGCAAATCCATCCGCTGCCTGAGAGAACATGGATCATCTGCCCTTCAACATGAGTGTGCCAGTGAGTCCGGGCGCATGGCGTGAATGTGACACTGGCAATCCCAGCAGCTTGGTCAAGATGCATGATATTGGAAAGGACCTGGCCAGTGAAGGTTTCTGTAACCTGATGTGTCTTGGTGTTCGACTTGGAGATAATGGTGGATTCAGGCATGGCCGCTTTTTCGAGAGCTCGTACTTGGGTAGGGGAAAGTGATATTTCTTATATTGAACAAGTGCTTTCAAACAGTAGGTTCCCTGAGTGTTGGTGCAGAGAGTTCAGAGAGACAGATGAGTGTTCGTTCAATGTATAGTCGAGAGGGTCAAATGTCAAGGTGGGAGGAAAGGGCTGGGTTCTATAAGGCTGGGCTTGGGTCCCCTTTTAAATAATTCGAATAAAGACACAACTAAGCTAGTCTACCTGGAGACCAGGGGAAAGTAGTATGACACACTGGATCACTCTTTTTGAGTTGTTGGCGTCCCTCCGACTAGTCAGAAGTTGAGTTCATTAACTCTTGTCCCCGTTATGGTGCATGAGGTGGACCCTTTATTCTACTGAGACTTTGTAAAGTTGTGTGACGGAGCCAAGGGGATTTATGGTGCTCCTATTCTCTATCTGTACAGACCCTACGCAATATAAGGTTCCTCCTCTAGGTAGACCTCATACTTGTATTTGCTCCCGGCATGGTCGTCTCTCAACCGAGTCTGACCCTTCCCATAAACCCTCTCACGTGCCGTCAATCCAGGTTCAACAGCCCCAGGATATATGCCTCGTCTCCGAAGCTCAGGCACAAGCAATTCTACTACATCCTCAAACGAACCTGGCGACGTGACATATCCGAGATTAAATCCGTCCAAATCAGCAACGTTGATCCAGTTTTCCATTACATCAGCTACAGTTGCTGGAGACCCGACGGCAGAAGGGGAGATGTCACTCATAGCAGCCTTCTCACCAATTAGACGAGCAGTCCAGACGGGCGTCTGGGCCGTTGGCTTGAAAATGTTACGTAGCTTCCTGGCCTCGTCAGAGTCCACCGTGGTGATGTCCTCATCGAGGGGGAGTTTAGACATGTCGATACGAGTCCACCCGCTGAAGAGAACCAGGCCGCCAACGACACTCGCGTTTTTCTTAAGTGCCTCAAACTTTTCTTGGGCCTCTTCGTCCGTTTTTCCAAGGATGGGAGTAAAGGAGAGGTAGAACTTCAAAGAGCGTGGGTCACGCCCCTTTTCAGCTGCAATCTTGCGGTTCTTCTCAATCTGCGCCCGAAGGATCTCGGGTGAGGGTGATGACACGAAAATGCCCTCTGCATGGGTGGCTGCAAAGTCGATACCCTCGGCCGACGCGCCTGCCTGGAACAGGAAAGGCGTTCGCTGAGGAGAGGGATCCACGATATGGCGGGTGGACAGTTTGTAATGCTTACCATGGTGATTGATATGGCGGACTTTGGATGGATCAATGTATATGTCTGTGTCCACATCAGGCTGCAGCGCATCATCAGCCCATGAGCCTTCCCAGAGTCTAGTGAGCTCTTTGGTTAGCAAATAGATGGCCATTCACCGGCCGGTTCTCAGGGGGTGGGACCAACTTGTACAAAACCCTCATATATTCATCAGCTTGCGCATATCGCTGGTCATGCTCAATAGGATCTATGCCAATGGCATTGAATGCAGACTTCTTCCACGACGTGACAATATTCCAGCCAATACGGCCATCCGTCATATGATCCAAGGTCGAAAATCGCTTTGCCAAAACAAAGGGAGATTCGAAAGACGTCGACGCCGTGATACCAAAGGTAAGATTCTCGGTCACGGCCGCCATTGCTGTGATTGGCTATAGTGAACTGTTAACACCCAGACAAGGGAACAGTGTTTTAATGGACATTCGGCGTACAATAGATGGATCGGTTACTGGCCACTGAACTGCCCTTCTGATGCTCTCTTCTACGTCTCCGCCATAAATGTCGAAACCGCCGTTTGTGTCTGCAAGAAATAGCCCGCTGATGCCGCCTCTTTCAAGGAGCTTTGCCAGTTCGACCCAGTATGTCAGTTTGCGCTTTGTTGCTGATCTGTCGGTCGGATTCTGTCAAAGTATCAGCAGTCCTTTTCTGTTCTCGTCTCGTCTCGTCCTTTTCTTGAATTCTCGAGTTTCGTGCAACATTCCATCCACTCACTTTCCAATGTCCAACGGACAGATGCCCGACAGTTGACATGTCGAAAGCATTGAGCAAGATCTGCTTCTTGGGTGGGACCTCTGGCGTCGACATTTTACTTGTTCCTTTTTAAGTCTAGGAAGAACAAGGGCAAAATCAGGGTTCAAGTGTGATGATCGAACCCTTGCCAGTCACCACTTGTAATCAATTGTTGCGGAAGGCTTAACATATACCATGTGAGCCAAGAGTTGTGCACTTTGCCATGGTATTGCAATCGCCCTAGCCAACTGCTATCACCGTGAGTCTCAACTTGGCAGTAGTGAGTATCACGTTTTGAGACTGATGTATTGCGTGCCTGCATTTGCTGAACGGTCGATACCACGCGATGTGGAACCTCCAGTTTCGTCAACGAATATGGCTTCCGCTAGATGACGCAATACTGTCTAATCGGTAGGGTCCCCGATCGACTCTCTTAACCCCGAAAGCCCGGCACTGCATTGAACCAGGATGGAAATACAGCAATAGTGCAGCATGAGCAAAGACAGCAAAGGACTGACGCAATCGGCTGCACAGAGAGCCGATTGGATCTTCCCTGTCTTCACGCAGTGAGGGTTCCATTCTCCAGATAGTTTCAGGATGCCATAAAAGCCATCCAGACCGCGGAGCTCCGACGAAGGCCTGGTTCCCACGGGATATCCTGCCGAATATCTACCTAGCCATTTTGTGCGGATGTACGGATACACTGATGGTAGATGATATGCAGGGCTTACGAAGAGAGCCTCCAGATCTGGCACCCGAGGACCAGAGACCCCACAAAGTCCGTCTCGTTGCACCGGCAGCCTCCTCGGCAACGCACAGTTTGCCCTGGTCGCCTGACGATGTGGAGATTCTGTCGATTTGGAATGGTGAACACTCGACTCCCGAGGACGGAGGCGCTGAACCGCAACGGCTGCCGCCTACCAACAGCGAGTCTCAGGCTCCCAGGACTCGAGGAGCCGTAGCTTGTCAGAAGTGTCGATCGCGAAAGACAAAATGCGACAATCAGCGGCCAAGCTGCGGCTACTGCCTCAAAATCCGTGAGCCTTGCGTTTATGAGTCGGAAACCAAATCCTGGTAAGCTTTCACAACTCCCAACCTACACGTCTATAGAAGGGAACAATGCTGAATAGCCTTCTCCTAGCTGCCACGTCTTTGGGAAAGAGGTTCTGCAGGCCCTCGAAGAAATTCGAGAGCTCGTCTCGAAACCGACAACAGCAGGATCGTCGACCAATGATGGTCAAATACTTGCAGGTGGCGAAGACGGCTCCTCTGCTGTGCCAGCCACCTTTGCTGCACCAGAGCCTCAGTTGGCTCCTAGTGGCAACCATGCCCGCCTCAAGCCAGTCATATCTCGCGCCAGAATCCAGAACATTGAAAATACAGTCCGATGGCGAATATTCCGATCGCAAATTGTGGCGAACGACATATATCCCGACGCCGATCCAGTCATACCCATGGACCATTCTATACCAAGTACCGAAATAGAGCTGCTGACCGAGCTAGAACTGAAATATGTCCAGAGCGTGCACTTGGTAAACCCCATACTCGATTTGTCCACACTCCGCGATCTGATTCTTAAGGTGGCGGAGAGCGGATTTGACTGGTCCCTCGAGACGTGCCTCGTCGCACTTGTATGTGCCATCGGTGCTATTGGCGAGCCTCTGAAGCCACCAGAAAGGCCAGAGTCTGCTGTCGGAAGTATTTTACAAGACGCTATTGGCCGTAGCAATCCCGAGCTGGCTGTTGGGTACTTCAATGTAGCATCCAAGCGCCTGGGCCTTGCTCTTGATCAGAACAATCTAGGGGCTGTGCAATGTCTATGCTTGACAGGGTAAGAACATTATGAAAGAAAATGGAGGGCCCGTTTGCCTCGGAAATCCTTGTTTTTTCCTTGTCTTTGATGCTAATCTGGTCAAAGGGTATGGCATATGCACAACCTGCAGCCACTTCAAGCCTGGAAGTACTTTAGCCATGCGGCAAACGCGTGGTTCAGCATAGTCATACGGAAGTAAGTAAACTGAAAAATTATTATATGTGCAAGAGAAGGAACGTGTTTCTAATGAGATAACTAGCGACCCATTACGACAACTTGACCACATCCGCTCAGGTCCCACCGGCATTAAGGAGGCGCTATGCTTTACAATTTGGAAGTCTAGTTGGTATGTCAGCCCTTTCTCGTCATCAGCAGCGCCAACACCTTTGATTTGCGTCTAATGGCTTCCATTTAGCGAGCTGCGCACGGAGTTGTCGCTTCCCCGATCAGTCTTGGACGACTATGAAATCCTTAACCCCTTTCCAGCACTGCCAGACTTGGCAGTTGTGAGACTTGGCACGGCTTCAATAGACAGCGAGCGGAGCTGGTACTATTACCTAGCAGATATTGCCGCACGGCACCTCATTAATGACATCCTAGACTGCCATATCTACGACTTTGACAATATCCAGCTGGCAGATGTGGTGAGGATGATTCGCAACACTGAGATACTGGAGGAGCAGATCAAACAGTGGCGATCATCCCTGCCTCCGCAGCTCCATTTCGACGTCCCCACAGACTTGACTCTGCCTGAGCTAGATGAGTGGATGACGACTGTGTTGAGGCAGCGGTACTTGTCAAGTCTTGAACTGACATACCGACCTCTGGTACGGATATGCACCGACTTTCCACTAGAGGGCATTGAAGGATACGATGCCCCGCTCCGGAGCAGAGTGGCCGAGCTGGCTTCCCGGAACTTGCATTACTCGTACTTGAAGATTCTACGCATAAGGAGCAGGCTCCATCACGGGACTTGGTTCAACCTGCGCAGCTTGACGGGGGCATGCCTGCGGTTCGCTGCGGTGGAGAGAGCCCAGCGCGACAGAAAGCTGATTGGTGCAAGTGAGATTCGCATTCCACCGAACTGGAGGTCTTGCGTTATAAGTAGAATAAATACTCTGGAGCAATACTGGACTTCAAACCGTGGTGGCGGAGCTGGTCTTTTGGCCTTGATCGATCAGGCCCTGGCGTTGTAGAGCCACGACAAGATCCGCGGGGTGTTTTAAGTCATGAAGCCCTAAACGTAGGATGGAACAACAATAGGCTGAAAGCTCGACGAAAAGACCTATTTCTTCGAGGAGTTTTGTATCCCGGGGCGTCAACATTCGCTTCAATCTGAGAGAACGTGTATTTATGCGAAATCGCTTCATTACTAACATCATAAGATAGTGTTGCTATTTTCACATTTTGACCTTTGTCAAGAGCTTTATAGACTTCGCCTCTATACTTTATCATTTTTAAGAGCGTTCCTCTGCTCTTGCCATATAGCGGTCACATTCACGAAAACAAGTCATCATGTTGATCTGACAGAAGCCAAGTAGAAAGTAAACATTCAGTTTCGACCTTTGTAAATAGAATTCTAACTGGATCTTCTGAGCTATTTCATGTATTATGATCCGAACCCCCCGTGATGTAGTGTATTTGTAATATCTCAACCTTGATTAGTCCTAGGATAATGAATTGTGTTAAAAGAACTACTGTATTTAAAGGAAAGATTCTAGTTCTATAAGTGAATCACATAGAATGTGTATGTAAATTGAAAAGGACCCTATCCGAAATGGGTCAAATTTGCAAAAGAAAAATTAAAAATTCGATCCGAACAAACTCAAAAATGAAACAGCGAGTTGGTAAAAAATCCGCTATCCTAAAAAAGCCCACGATGATTGAAAGAAAGAATCGAAATTTTGACTTGACGATGAGTAGAGGGAGGTTTATGCCTTGGTCCTTACTCTAAACCCCAAGATCTAAAATGTAGGACTGTAGGATCGCCTCTCCTGGCCCGTACTGAGCCAGCTGGCCAGCCCATGAAAGATTATATTTTCTGAACGACAACTGCATGAACAGTCTCATCTGGGCCGCTGGAGTGACTAGCAGTATCATTTTGAAGGTTAGAAGACCCGAAAGATGTTTCCTCATCAGCAACGCGTGTTCTATATTTAGGTCAGTACCAAGCCTCACAAGAGGGCTCAATGGGAGGTAGCTTACTCGCGGGACTTGATCCACCAACTCAGTGGATGCGATATCAAGATCAAAGTGGTTGACATGGCGATGCCAAAGGCAAAGCCCTTGGTGAATCTCGGAGCCTCTACTGTGGGATAAGTGAAAAGGGAGACCCAAGCCGTGGATGACTGTGCCCAAGCAGTTCCGATAATGAGGGTGATGGCTCGCTCAACCGGAGAGTGCCGCATGACATGGTTCACCCAGCCATAGACGACGGTGGACGTGGCAGCTGCTGAAAAATTGGTCATGAAAGCAAACCATTTGGCTCCCTCGGGCACATCCCACTTAAGTAGGATGGACAAGCCGACGATATTGAAGATATGGCCGCCTGTCAGGGCCCATACAGGACCAATCAGCAGATCAGAGGCAAAGGCGGTCGCTAGAACAAAGAAGATGCCACAGACAGCCTGTAGTGTGCCGAGTTCGTTGAGTCTCGCCGTGGAGTAGCGGTTCAAGCTCTTGAGCCACAACAAATAGGCTCCGCTCCCCTGTGATCCTCCCGAGTTCCAGAACAAGGTCATGGTTGTTAAGAGTGCCCAGAAGATTGGATTCCTAATGACTTGAACAACAGATTTCCATTGAAACTTGCCAGATGTCGTGTGACCAGCCGCCTTGAGCCGTGAGGCTGAGCGGTCAATGTCGGCCTGCTTCAAAACAAAGCGGTTGGGCATGACCGGGGTGCCAGGAATGACGAAGACACCCAGGATACCAACTGGGATCGTGATGAGGGCACAAATGATGTACATCCACCGCCAGCCAGCAAGGCCATGCACATTGTGAAGGCGTGCTGATGCTCCAGCCTGGATTAAGCCCGCGGTAAGCACACCCAGAGTGGTGCCGTTGTAGAAGATCCCGGCGCGGCGGGAGATCTCGTCCTTCCGATACCAGCATCCGAACATGTAGTGAACGGCCGGATAGAAGGCAGCCTCAAAGAACCCAACGAAAAATCGGTAGGCCATGAGTTCAGAATAGCTGGTCGCGCGAAACTGAATAAGGGTAAAGATGCCCCACAAGACGTCGACGGCCGGGATCAACCAGTAGAGCGGAACATGAGTGAGCAGAAACATAAAGGGGAGCTGGCCAACGACGGCTCCAACAGTGTACATTGTCTGAAACTGGACGAGCTCGTTGCCGTAGAACCCAAGGTCTTCCTTCATTCCCGAAACGTACGCATTATCTATTTACCGCGTTAGTGAAGTTGCTGTGAGGACCGCAGTTGCTGCATATTCATACTGAGGTTGGATTGGTCAATGTACTTGACCCAATACGCGAGGAAGACGTATGGCACGATGAGAAGGTCGAGCTTGACAATCAGCTTCCTCTCTTCGGGTGAATCTGAATCCGCAAACCACCTGATCTTCCACCATGGACGCCCGGCCATTGTGACTACTTGAACTTGGTAAAGATTGAATGATTGATGAACTTGTGTAATTATTGCATTGAATCCGAGGAGTCTCTTCAAAAAGGCTCTACGGCGCCCAGTTTACATATTGTCTCGGTCGTTGCCAATTCTTGACGCCATAGTATCTATCTACATGTGTCAAAAGGCGTGCTTGAAGAAGACCCTGGTGTGATTGGGTTGGTTGGGTTTCTAGTATGACCAGGAGCTGGCGAGTAGGTGATTTGGACGGGATCACGCAATCGCTATTAACCTGACAAACACTCTCATTTGTCGTAAGCTGATTAGCTTCGTAGGAACAGACCAAGTGTGGGGATACAAATAATTTACGTCGCGGAGCCTGCCGATGGTCATAGGGGAATGCAGCCGAGAAAATGACCCCACTATGTTCACTCGGGTTGTAAGGTGGTGTATTGAGTGAGGGCTTTCCGGATCTCCAGGACCGGCATCTATCGCATTGCCAGCGATGGCATCATTCTCAGCGGAGCGAACTACCGAGTCTGGACCCCAAGACACATCAAAATGGCGTAGACTTCCTTCTCGTGAAACTGTATTATCAGCAGCGCATCTTCGATAGTTGAGCTACTTCACAGTTTTTTTTGTGATATCTCTCTACTGCTCTACACGATGGCTGTTGTCTCTCATCCCCCGTCCCAAGACAACTCTGTCACATCAGCACACATACCATCAGCCGTATCCAACATCGACACAGTGGCATCGAAGCTGGGAGACATTCGCATACAAGCCAATGAACTTCCGGACACAGAACCACTGCCTAACGTCAACGGCAACGTGCCCAATGGCACTGATGCACCTCCCAGCCAGAAGACTGGGGAACTAAAACCTGACCCGAAGTCGAGGCTAGAGACTGTAGCGTCGTATCCAGTTTCAAACTTGAAGCTTGAAGATCGTTTGATTGACGACTTCCGGCCCCTTCGCGTTGCCGTAATTGGTGCCGGGCTGTCCGGAATCCTGTCTGGGATTCTGTTACCTGAGAAGGTGCCCAACGTGCAACTGACGATTTTTGAAAAGAGCAAAGAAGTGGTCAGTTCTGGATGTATAACTTCTCCCCGTCTAGAGTAGACAAGGCATGCTGACATTGAGTGACAGGGCGGAACTTGGCTTGAAAACATCTACCCTGGCGTGCGCTGTGACATTCCGTCGCATGTCTATCAGACTACCTTCTCCCCCAACTTCGAATGGTCTCAGCAATTCGCCGAAGGGGCTGAGATTCTTGCGTACTGGCAGAATCTGACCAAAAAGTACGACGCCGCTCGCTTCCTGCGCTTGGGCACGTACGTTGAGACGGCGCAATGGGACGACGCGCGGTCCATCTGGGCCCTCACACTGCAGGACGTGGACTCGAAGCACACATCAGTAGAGGACTTTGACTTTGTCATCACCGCAATTGGCCGCTTCAACGAGTGGAAGCTGCCCGACTATCCTGGCATCAAGGACTACAAGGGCCACCTCCGCCATAGCTCAAATTGGGACCCGACGTTTGATCCCGCGGGCAAGACAGTTGCGGTCATTGGCAATGGAGCCAGCGGCATCCAGCTAGTTCCCGAGCTCCAGAAAACCGTGAAGCACATTGATCACTATGCGCGCAATAAGACGTGGATCGCTGCCGGATGGGGCGGTCAGGAACGCCAGTTTGGGCCAGAATACATTTCCGAGGAGCAGATCAAGTCTTTTGAAGACCCAGCAACCTATCTCGAGTTTCGAAAGGGTGCTGAGGACCGGTACTGGAGAGGTGCTAATGCCATGAAAGCTGGCACCAAGGAGAATGCCAATTATAGAGAGAGGTTCACCGATATCATGAAGCGGCGGTTAGAGAAGAGACCAGGACTGGCGGAGAAGATGATACCGGATTTCTCGCCCCATTGCAGGAGATTGACCCCAGGCCCTGGATATCTGGAAGCACTCACAGAGGATAATCTCGAGTATATACAGACCCCGATTTCCAAATTCACCGCCACCGGAATCGAGACTGTGGATGGCACCCATCGCGAGGTAGATGCAATCTTCTGCGCAACGGGCCACAATATCAACTTCGCTCCCCCCTTCTCCATCCGTGCCCGTGGCGTGGACCTCAAGACAGCCTGGAAGCACGACGGGGAGATTGGATTCCCAAAGACGTACCTGGGAATGGCAAGCGCCGGGTTCCCCAACCTGCTCTTCATCGGCACCGTGCACACAAACGGCATTGCCGGCACCTTCGTGCACAGCATCGAGAGCCAAATCACCCACTACGCCAAGATCCTGCGCAAGGTGTCCAGCGAGGGCATCAAGACCATCACGCCCTCTGAATGGGCCGTGGACGACTTCATATCCTATGCCGACGCCTACTTCCCCACGACTGTCATGACTGGCAACTGCAGCTCCTGGGCCAACGGCGGGCGGCCCGGCTCGCGGATACACGGCGCGTGGCCGGGCAGTGCCTCGCATCTGGCCTTTGTTCGTCGAAACCCCCGCTGGGAGGACTATGAATACGAGTACACCTCGGGCAGCGGGAACAGGTTTGCCTACTTTGGAAACGGGCGGACTATCAGGGAGGCGGACCCCGGCTTTAACATTACCTCCTATCTAAAGCCCAATCCGGCCGATATTGACCTCCGCGATATCCACGAGAGCTGGCATAGTTGGCCGTAGCTTATCGATGTTATATTTTGGGATTATTATTACTATGTTGATAGAATTAAGCTGATAACATATGATACTTGGAATAAATGACAAGATCCTCCCATTATAACGTTATTATTGATTCTGAGATAGACCTTTGATACACCCATCTTTATCTATGCAATACTATGCACCGCACGCTTCTTGATATAAGAGCACAAAAAGTGGTTAATTATATTTAGTTCAGCATGGCAGGTCGTTTACGTTTACTTGCTCAATACATCTTCTATGTATAGATCGCCGACCGGCTACACTTATCTGGTGTAGCATTGTCAAAGATGAAGAAATCACAGGCTCTCTCACATACACCTCAAGTATATCACTGAATCGTAATTCTTTTTAAAAAGCTTTCATTTGACCTCAAGTAGATTACTGAAGCGCAATTCTTCTTACGGCTTTGTGAACACACACACAACAAGAATCCGAACCGCATGATAAAATGGCCATACACATCCAGGTTTCTACTCTTCCAACTCATTCTTCAAGTTCAGGCAGGATTGGATGTACATCTTCGACATAGTCGAACACCCCCCGGACATTGGCGGGACGCACATCTCCGGGTCCTCGCGGTCCACGGTTCGTATTCCCGCTCAGAAAGTTGTGCGGGAAGCCGACGTCAAAGGGGTAGGAAGTCTCGATTTCGTCAATATCCTCCTTTGCCAGTCGCAGACTCAGGGCCTCTATGTTACCTCGGAGGTGGTCGAGCTTCCGGCCGCCCAAGATGGGGAAGACGTACGGCGACTTGTGCAGCACGTACGCCAGGGCGACGGATGTGATGGCGACGTTCTTGTGATTAGCAATCTTCTGGAGCTGCTCGGAAACGAGTTGCTCGCGGCCGTTGTTCATCGACGGCATGTTTCGGCCACCCAGTTTGACCTGGTCCTTTGGCTTGAAGAGACCACGGCCAAGCGTGCCCCAGGGTGCCAGGCCCATGCCCTCAGCCCGGCACATTGGGATAATCTCACGTTCGAAATCCCGATCGGCCGCGGACCACCGGCCCTGGTACACCGAGAACTGTCTAAGTCCGTGCTGCCTCGCGTACTCATTGCACTTGACCACGATCCAAGCTGGCGTATCCGAGATCCCCAGGTACAGAACCTTTCCCGAAGCAACCAAGTGGTTCAGCGACTGCATGATCTCGGGTATGTCTGCGGTCAGATCCCAGAAGTGGAGGTAGAGGAGGTCGATGTAGGTGGTCTGGAGCTTTTTGAGGCTCGCTTCGACGGACAGGTGCAGGCTCTTGGTGCCGTTTCCGCCAAAGTTGGACTGCTGCCGGTACGATTCTGACCTGGCCTTGAAGTTGCCCGTGTATTTTGTCGCCAGGACGAACTCGTCACGTCTTCCGGTCTTTGACAACCATTCTCCTAGCCACTTCTCAGACTCCTCTGCTTGGTAACTTGACGCACTACATACCATGTCAGAGCCTTCATAATTGGTGGTAGAGTCTAAAGTTGAAGCAAAAAGTAAAGGGGAGGGGGGAGGGTTATTGCATCACTTACGTATCGAGGAAATTGCCTCCCTGCTCGTAAAAGTATTCGAGTATCTCAAACGCCGTCTCCTTGGAGCACTCGCCCAGCGAGTCATCCATGACACCCCCAAAATTCATCGTCCCCAGACATATCGGGCTAACGAAGACCCCTGCAGTCGGAGCCAGAAGTCGATGGCGGCCAAGGAGGCTCTTGGGAGGTTCAATATTGGGCGGTGCCATCTTCGTAGATTGTTTAGAGTCAGGATGGAGAACCCAAGGTCTTGGAGAGGTGACGCCATCGGCATATCTGACTTACACAGCTGACTTTTATGCCAGAAAAGGAGAGAGCAGGTCACATCAAATGTGAGGATCCACATCGCGGAGGGAGGCCGAAGTGGATCGCGATATTGGCAATGAGGCATCGGGGGGCACTACCGATGAGAAGACCAGGGTAGTGTAATCTATTGGGAAGCTATGCTAAGAGGTCAAGAAAACATTCAACCCCACAGTGTGGAGTTGAATATTCACGCCATGGACTACTCGGATACTGGCGAGTTTAAGCACAAGTTGTTGGGCCCCGAGACACATCCATCTACCTCAAATGTTCAGCTTGCTTCGATAGAAAACCGCAATTATTACGTACATAAGGCAACAATCTCTCCGGAAAATCAAGTTTGGGCCGCTTTGCGAGATAATCACAAACAGTACTGAATTCAAAATGACAACTACCACCACCGCCATTGAACAACCTGTGCAGTCGCGGCGGGGTGAGAAGACTTCGCCTTCGCCTATCGAATTGTATGTGCAAGAGATGAAGGATTAATGCCAGCATGATGGGCAACACAAGTCTAACACTATGGCCTTTGCAGATATGGACTTCCCTACTGGGGCAACGAAAATGGACAAAAGTATGAACGCGATCTCCTTTACCTCTCTCGATTGGGAGCGAAACTAACAAGTATGCGGCCACAGGATGGCCCCTCTCGAGCCTTTTGAGCACTACGAGCATGGAAAAGACGCGGATCCAAACTTCAGATCTCTACTCAAAGAAGGTGTCAAGATTTCAGAAATTACGAAATCGATCGGTGCCGAGGTCACTGGTCTCCAGCTCTCTCAGCTAAACGACAAGGCAAAGGACGAACTTGCTCTCCTAGTAGCGCAAAAAAAGGTACGTCGCTGTGAGGCTACCGCAAAAAAATAGCCGGCTGACGTTCTCAAGGTTGTCGTTTTCCACGATCAAGACTTTGCCACCATACCCATTCAGCAGGCTGTCGATTTCGCAAGCTATTTCGGCAGGCTGCATGTCCATCCCGTCAGGTTAGAGCTCTTCATCATAATCCAAGGCCACTTCTGGTTGAACTTTGCTTTTCGGGGGCTGACCTGACTCTCTCGCTCACAGCGGCGCCGTTCCCGGTTTTCCTCAGCTCCACATGGTCTACCGCGGACCCAGGGATGTCAATCACGATAAGATGCTTGAATCCAGAACTACCTCCGTCTCATGGCACAGCGATGTGAGCTATGAACTACAGCCTCCTGGGACCACATTTCTATTCGCCATTGAAGTTCCTGAAAGCGGAGGGGACACTATATTTGTGAACCAGGTAAAAGCCTACGAAAGGCTCTCTCCGGCATTCAAAGAGCGGCTGGCTGGGCTGAAGGTCGTGCACTCCGCCCACGAGCAGGCCGCTGCGGCTCTCAGGAATGGTGGGCAGTTGAGAAGGGACCCAATCACTTCTGTGCACCCTCTGGTCCGGACTCACCCGGCAACGGGCGAGAAGGCACTCTACATCCAGCCTCAGTTTGCCCGCTCGATAGTCGGCTACAAGCAGGAAGAAAGTGAGGCACTGCTCAAGTTCCTCTACCAACACATCGCCTACAGCCAGGATCTTCAGTGTCGTGTCAAATGGAGCCCTCGCTCCGTTGTTGTGTGGGACAACAGGGTCACTGCTCACTCCGGCTTGGTCGATTGGGAGGGTCCACGTTACAGGTACATTGCTCGCCTGGCAGCGCAAGCAGAGCCGCCAACTGAATAGTACAGTTTTGACAGGCAAGTTTCAGACTCATTGTAGCTCAAGTGACAAGGCAGTTTTACATATCATGTCATCCCATGGCAAGCCCTGCTAACATGGACGTTAATATATTAGCTTAAAAATTTCGCGCAATCGCTTCTTTGCGACCAACAATTTTGAAATCAATGATGAACTAATTTTGTATCAATGAAGTGGTAGACGCACTTTAACCTGCCGCTGCCATAGCGTTAAATGATGTTGCTACTAGCGATCTAAGTAGGAAGGGGTAGACTTGCACGCCTAACTAGCCTTGAGAACTGGAGTGAGGTGCACGTCATATTCACGCCCAAATTACTCTGGTATCAGGTTTGAGTAAATCTTTCCGCGCCGTTAGCTATGTTGTAGGGAGAAGAACTAGGGAATACTCATCAGACACAGGTTTTTGACGAAGGCAATGGCAGAAGAAACGGTTTGATGAGGAAAATCTCAACAACTTGCCCTTCTAATCTCATTTTGAAATCGTTTTAGTTATTGGTAAGCATGAGGTGGAAAGCTTCACCCATCCTTGAACAACATCAGCTTATGAGCTATTGCGGCACATTTGTGATTCCTCATGGTCAGCTACGTCTCCAAGCTGCGATTAGCCCCTTGGCCGGCCGCCCACCACCCATACTCTCGCATGAACGTTGAGTTTACTTACAGGGCATTTTCAAACTAGACCAAGATTGAACTGGGGTAGAGCACTACCTTTGGGATCGTCCTGCACAGCCACGTCAACGGGCTGATATGAGACATTGCTAGTAGGCTTTTATGGTCCTGATAGCTATGTTCCGGAAAGGTCCATGACGTAGAAGACAGCTGTGGGCTCTTTGAAACGATTTGTTTCGCTTGCGTCTCAAACAAGGGAGTGCGATGGGGATCAAAGAGACTTGAAAGGTTTAATTCAACAAAAGTCAATATCACAAACCCGATATCTCGACACAATGTAGCTATTAAATACATTCCGTAGAACGTAGTTGATACTTCTCACTTTATGTGAACTCACTGTGGAGGTTAAAAGAGAATTTAAGGTGAGCAACGTAAAATCATGACCTAAATCCAGAATACAACGGCTATACATAATACTATTCCAGTGACTCTCTCAGATCCAAACCATCAAGGTCGCTAACACAAACATCAGGCCAAACAAGGAACTCCTGCCTATAATTACGCCACTGTTATTTGTATCACCCGTTTGGACAGCAGTAGTCGCTGTATTGAGATTCGAAGTAGTGGCTATACCTCTAGGGTTAGATTTCTCGATAAATCAGCTACAATGATGCCCGAAATAACGTACCTGGAGCGCCTGAGGATGTTGATGTGCGTAACAAGTTCATAGTACTTGTGCCCCTACCGCATCCAACAAATGGGGTGAAAGTCGTGACATCAAGATCCTGATAAACTCTGTGTGTTACACATCCAACGTCACTTTAAGGCAAGCCCGTTTGTTAGCCAAGGTCCTTCAATATGGTGTGGGAGGAACTACCAAAGGATTCCCTTGCCGTCAATTCCAAACGCGGTCTTTCCTGAACAACGAGTATACAAGTCATCAGTGCCACAGCCACCATATTCACCTCGTGTGGTGAAAGGGTCGTTGATGCAAGCCAGCCAGTCTAAGAAAGAATATTTAGCACAGTGCCGCGTTGTGCACAAGATAGCACAGCCATACAGTAGTTGCCTCTGGTCCCATTCTGACCCATTCCGATACTCAATTCATTATGAGGAATTTCTGTCGTCGCGAGCGAGTAGAATGAGGTGGTGACGTAAGTTGATCGGGCTCGAGTCGTGGGTGCCGAAGTGGCGGTAGTGGCTGAGATCACTTGCACTAGGGCCAAGAATAGCGCGACTGGAAGAAGAGATAGAGAATGCATACTGGCGGCCAACCTAAGCAGAAGACGAGGACCTTGAAGTGGGCAAAACAGGTTCAAACTGCTCTGGGAACAGGTCGGGCTTTATAAGCGAATTGGAGTGGCTGCATCTTCAGGAGAGCACTAATACCTTCAGCTCGGTGGAGCCTAGAGGCAAGCTTGTTGCTAGGCTAGTGACTATGCATAAAAAGAAAGGAGCTGATCTGCGTCAAGCCACTATTGCCACCGTGCCAAGTATGTTGTTCTAACCAGCAATGTTCTAGCCAACTTGGGCCGTGTGCTAGGCTCAGCCAAGGCAATCTAGATCTTGGCGCTAGGCTTCGATGCGCCTCGGCCTTGAGTCGGGAACCTTCTGTCTTTCCTGGGTGCTTCGGGAAGCCCTAGCTGCATTGTGATTCAAATGATATGCAAGGTGCCCCAAATCATTATTTCCAAGTCCCAGGGAGACTAAATCGAGATCTAGAGCACGACTGGCTCAAATCAGATCGGGAAATGCTGCACTAGCCGGCAATGCCCTCTTCGCCAAGCCGCACACCATTTTGTGACCCATTAGTAGCCTAGACTTTGGCTGAATATTGAAATATGCTGGCATTACATCAAATCATTTTGTATGTTTATGGATAGGATCAACCTATGGATTGAAACTTATACAGGGTATGAATCATGCATCGAGTCGCTCTTAAAAGCTCCTAAACAATCTCAACTATATTTCCTTAATCAAAAATCTTGAAGCCAAGGTTTCAACTAATAGAAAACCTCATCGAAAGCACAGAAAACTATATCAACCGAGCCGGCGGGTACTGTGCTGAAGGGTAGCCTATTAGTTGATAGCCCTATACTACAATGGCTAAACCAAGCCAATGCCCTCAAGCCTAACGAAACTGATTCGTTGCTCCTAAGGAAACAAAACTATAATTTTAGGAGAGGCCTTAAATCGGGATCACTTTGCAGAACTATATTAACGAACCGATACGGAACATGGCTAGTCGGCTTTGCTGTCACCGCGCTGGTTCTGTACCCAGCTTGATTCGCCCGAATTCCATGGTTTTACGCTCTCCAATCTTGAATTCTTGTTTAGAAGTTACTAGCTCTGTATTTACTTCACTTACTTTAAGATAGTCAAAGTGGGATACTCACCCCAGTGAAACCCGAGGTCTGGAGAGCATGAGGTCAGACAATTCGAGTGAAGTTCGAGTGATTCAAATTGGATCAAAGCTACTGCCTCCCCCAACCTTGCTTGAAGAAAGTAAAGGCAGATTTATCTCTCTGTTGCTCCTCCATGCGTGTGCTTTGGTTAGCATCCTATTCGTGGAAAAGAATGCTGCCTTGGTTATTACTTTCATCTCAAGATGCAAAAGCTTATCTTCCGTGGTGTTGGGATGTTAACTGAGGAGACTCTGTAGCCCTTCTCAACGAGGTCCCCTTATTCGAAGCTACCATGCTCCCTCACACGAAGCAGCTATAAATAGAATATCGTACTGAAGATCCGGATACTCCGGAGGCTTCCTTAGCAGTGAACTCATCGATATTCCGTTTCTAGGATAGCTTTCTTCTCATCCTAAATATATTTATGAGTCAGAAGACGGACTTTTCAAGTCACTTCTACTACGATAAAGTCCGAATACCTTTGTTTTGTGTATGTGCGTGCGTGTGTGTGTTCGCGCGCGCAGCAGAGCTACATCTCAAGAGCCATCATCCTGGGCAGCATTATGAAGTAATCACTACCGGTAGTTGGTCTACAACAACTCGAGCTCCTGTTCCGTCGATTCCAGAAACCCAGGACAGTAACTTTTAACTAAAGAACTAATAATTCCGTACCAAGTTCGTCTCAGAGCTCCCACACAACAGATGCCAGAGGCTATTTGGGCGGCGGAGTGGTATTATGTTTTCGGCGATCGATTCCGAGTTAGTATAGCTCCTGTCTGACGCATCGGAGATGAAGGTGAATCATTAAAAGAATTAATGGATGTCCTCTACTTTCGAATGTTGGCCGATATAGGTTGGGATGTGAGTTATCCATGCTGACCGTAGATACAAGAGGGGTCGTACTCGATGGTTCGTCATCCCCCCTCAACGGAGAGATGACAAAACAATGCCGATGATAAATTAAGCGGCACAGCTCCGCGGTCCAATGGCATTAAACAAAGAGGAGCAAAGCTGAAGGGGCCTATGATACTGCGCCCTCTGCACCGCACCAAGGCCCCACAAGTCGCGATCCTTCCTCGGTACGACGTCGATTTCAATTACGGTAAGGCGAGTGAGATCTGTTGTTTGAGAGAATCCTTACCGTACGTCGACCAATGAACATCGGCAGAGAAGATAAAATGTAATTATAGCGACGGAAATATGTGAGCTATTATGGCAATCACTTCCTGGATTTGTTCGGGGAGGAGTAAAAACCCGGAGAGGGACTTTCTGCCGTATTTTCCGGCCCTGCTTGCTGGGAATGCATCCTTGTTTGGGTCGTTATCACCTAACGCAAATGAAGTTCGAATACATACTCACTACGCAAACACCGTGCTTATTGACTGTTTGTTAGCGTAGGGGTCAAAACACATGGCGTCTTAAGGATAACCTTCTATTGTTAGAATATCAGTGAGTAAGAATCCTATTTAAAGACTGTTCTTAAACATATAAAAGGACTCGTTGATACTCCAAAATATCATCTTTGTTATTCTCATCATCACTTTTCATTTCACCATCTGTTTTCATACCACGAATAAGCCAAATTATATTTTGCTCGACAGCATTTCTCTTTTCTCTTTTCTTTTTCAAACCTCTTTATCAACACCAAATCTCAAAATGGTTGGCATTAAGCAACTCTCTCTGGGGGCAACCCTCATACTCAGCCTCGCTCAGAATGCTGTCTCTTATACAACTGAAGCCGTTGTGGAGGAGCGAGATCTCGAGATTCGCAAGGGAGGTGGCGGTGCAGGGTCTCGTGGTAGTAGCGGCGGGCACGCTTCTGGCACAACGAGTAACGGTTTCTCCGGCTACCAACCCTCTCCTGCTAGACCAGCTAGCAGCAAAGGCAAGCGAGGCCTTGAGATTCGTAAGGGAGGTGGTGGTGCAGGCCCTCGTGGCAGCAGCGGCGGCCACGCTTCTGGCACAACTAGCAACGGCTTCGCCGGTTATCAACCATCTCCTGCTAGACCTTCAAGCAGCAAGGGCAAGCGAAGCCTTCAGATCCGCAAGGGAGGCGGTGGCGCCGGACCTCGTGGCAGCAGCGGCGGCCATGCCTCTGGGACTATTAGCAACGGTTTCGCCGGTTATCAACCTTCTCCTGCTAGACCGTCTAGCAGCAAGGGCAAGCGAAGCCTTCAGATCCGCAAGGGAGGTGGCGGTGCCGGCCCTCGTGGAAGCAGTGGTGGACACGCTTCTGGAACCACCAGCAATGGCTTTGCTGGCTATCAGCCTTCACCTGCAAGACCCTCCAGCAGCGGTAAGGGCAAGCGAAGCCTTGAGATTCGTAAGGGTGGTGGTGGTGCAGGTCCTCGTGGCAGCAGCGGCGGCCATGCTTCTGGGACTACTAGCAACGGCTTTGCTGGCTACCAGCCTTCTCCTGCTAGACCGGCTAGCAGCAAGGGCAAGCGAGGCCTCAGATATGAATAGGAGGCTTAGACACCCGCAAAGGGACTTTTTCTCCAGAATCTGGGTCTTGGCCGGTTGATCTAGGAGTAAACAGTCGGTTGTTGGATATCAAGAACAAATTATGATTCAATTTGTATTACCATTTTTTCTAGATACATGTTTTTGAGACTCATCTTAGATATGATGCACGCCTCGCGGAGACGGAGAACCTTTGTTAGACATTGAATTTATGGAAAGGCGAAATTCAACATAATATCACTACTCTCAACTTGTTATGAGGACAATCTACTTATCTGGGCGCGATTGAACTTCAGTTGTTATCGTACCAAGATCATGGCTCTGGGTCTCTTCTGGCATTCAACCAACGACATCTTCTCTAGCTACCCAAGTCATGTCTCCGGAAATTTAGTCCACCAACACTTAGGACAAAAAGTGTTTAGTGCTAGTATGTATGGTATGTTTACATATCGCAGTGAGGTAGCTTTGCGCTTTCATGATACCTGACGATCCACGTTTGATGATTGGGTAGACTGTTCACGAGAAGACCATTACCCCTTCTTACGCTGTCAACAAAATCCAAAAATCACACCATCAACTACCCTTGCGCTGATGCAACCCTCAACCTCCATTTCATCTGTCGGAACCGCGGATGAGGTTGGTGCTGCGCCGCACAAGAAATGGGATGTCACCGTCTGACCCTCTGAAACATGGTATGGTCATGCAAAAATGTACATATGATTGGCTAAGAAGCGAAGGGATCCAATTGCCGGACGATCCCAAATTAGAACTCAGGGCAGTCAAAGAGAATGCCGCGACCCTTGGTTAGAGATGACCAGCTAGCCTTTGAGGTGAGCAAACGGTTTTCATCTAATATTCCAATTTCGGAAGCTCGTTCGTATGCTATGTTTGCTTAGGTGACTACGCTAAAACGGCTCTCCCTAACGAACGTAGTGCGAACAAGTATACGCAGAGCAGGGCAACCCACCGAGCGCCCCGTGACGATGAGGTCTTTGTCCTTCGCAACTCACATTTATAGGCTCTCTAGGTAGCTACACGAGCAGCCGCGTATTGATACATAAGCAATAGTTTAAGTTGATATCTATAGAAGATCGCATGAGGATTTGTCTAAAAAGCGGTACCCAATTATTGAATTTATTTTGTTTTTAGCCCATTTCGGTGCGTTTGCTCCTGGCTGTGATAAATATCCCTCCACGCACGTTCATAGCTTTATCTTCTTTTGACTATCTACTTATAAAATTCCCCTCACTATATTCTCTTCTATTATATTTTAAAATCTTAATAGTATTTCTATAACTACCATCTCCTTTAATCCCTTCCTCTCTTGCTATTAATATTACTATAAGCTACCCTACTCAACAACGTGGCCGGGGGCACGCCAAAGCAAAGAAGGCGAGATAAGAATCGACGGCGAGCGTACATGCCCGATGGATGCCCAACTTGCCGACAAATGCGGGGTGACAGGCTTGGCAAGTCATTGGCACAAGCCTTTCATCAACATCTAACCTGGCGAAGCCTCATTACCCCCTTTGGTACATAAATATTTCCTCAACCTGCTGCTGCTATGGCGCAAAAAGAAGATCCCAATGCCCCGGCACATAGAGAGCTAAGTACAAGGAATAACCCGAACTGACAAGAGGCAATACAGAGTCCTGGCTGTTTGAGTCTCCCCAGTTACTGACCTAGGTCGGTGGGGGTTGAAACTATTACAATCCATGTGACTTGCGCCAGTTTACAGAGTATGCGTGCCAAGACTTCTTCTCTTATCTCTTATGCTCGTATATGCGTCCTAGAAGAGCGGCACCTATCAGATCATAGATCTTGGAGTCGCGTGATGGATGAGACTCCCACTAACGATATCGTGGGGGGCAGGCGAAAGCCGAGGAGTGAACAAACCACGCCGACAACCGGAACTTGATAGGTATAAAAAGGTCACTGTAGCAGACAATAACTTGAAGAACTTCTGTTTCAACCATTATCTGCCTTTCCTCTCATAAACCATCATTCTCAGAAATACCTCTTTCCCAAAGGTAAATACAGAATGTGACCCCAAAAGAACAAGACTAAGTGATCGAGTACAGCAACCTTGGACAATCAATCCAAAATTTCATCAACAATGTTCAACGACGAGGGACAGCCAAACTCAACCACCATGCACTGCGGCGAGGGAGGGAATTAAGTGAGCAAAGGGGCAGCTAGTCAACGACTGACTAGCGAACCTGAAGCGAGCCGTCTGATACGTGCCTCAAATGACGGGGTGGTTAATTTTGAAATCAGGATGATTTGGCTTCTGACTTATTGAGCTTTTAACTTGATGCTTCTGTTGCCATTGCCGAACCATATAGCACAGCCTGGTGGAAGAAGTCGCGTGAATAGAGGAGAGATGCAAAGGATCGATGACTAAATAAACTATCTTCTCCTGGTACCAAGGGACTCGTATGACAGCTTTGTGATGTGCAATATTCACGTAGATAAGACGTTTGATTGTAATCAGGAAACGAATACTGCCAGCTCTACATTCTCTCTACCTGATTACGGCTGATCGAGAGTCAATGGTCTGATGCTTGGGTGGACCCAACATGATCACGCTGCATAAACTTACAACAGGTGCAGGCGCCTTGGTGAGTTGGCAGTCCTACGGCTGATATTACGAAATATGATTGGCTTTGATCGCCTCATGGTGTTTCCTCCTAACTTCATCGGCAGGAGCTGAAAAAAAGAGGCGTTAAGACCAGTCTAGGCCCTCCTACTCCCTGCCTACCCAGTTGAGATGGTGTGCTTCGATTGACAGTTTCTCATTCATCATGACATAAAAGCATGTCTGGTTGCTTGATATGTCTTATGTTTGTCTCTATAATGCCATGGCTGAAGAGTTACAGAGCCCTCCCCAATCAAGGCACACGGAGCTAATGAAATGGGTTACAGTACATGTAACTCAGATTAAAAGCTGCTGGACAAGCAGAATTCGGTTCCAACGAAGCAGAAGAAAACATCGTGGCTTCCCATGGCCCGCTAACGGGACATAAACGGTAGTCTATTGTTGCGAACCAGGTGGTATTACCGACGGCATAGCTGATAATCACCAGCCCGCCAACATCTCCCGTCTGCAATTCAGTGAATAGCATAGCGCCGTCCCCGAAAGCAACATCCTTCACTTTGATGTGTGCATCACTAATGATATAGCATGGGCAACATCTATCCCTTCATCCGTCTGGTTAACGATACCGAGAATATCATTGGTGGAATTGTTGCTCCTTGTGACAGTTGTGTGCGTCAATTGGAGTTATATTAGTTACGATGACAGTCAATCTTTCCTATTAGACAGCTCTATATTGTGCCGAATTCAACGTGTTTTGCCAAAGCCTGCGCCTCTTACGCCGACAATAAAAATAACAATGTTCAGAAAATATTAAACACCTTCGTTTAAGGTCTACCAATATCTAAGGTACCTACATGTAGGCACAGCAACGCCCAGGAAGTAGCAAGTAAGATCTCCATACAATCTATCATCAAGAGAAGCTCCAGGCGTCCTCTTTCGCTCCAAGCACTGCGGGAGCCTACACTCTGGCGTGCATCTTTGCCCGTTGAATCTGAAACCCATCATATCTCTCAATGGCGAGCTCTTTCCGCAGTCGCTCAGCCGCCTTCTTGATGAGACGGTGGGTCGGCTCCTCCCTGTCCGACTTATGCTCCTCGTAGTGGAATTTGCTTCGGCCGACGTCCCAGACGAACATTCCCCTTCGCAGGGGATGATACTCATAGACCTGGTGTCGTCTCAAACTGCCACGGCTGAATTCAGCCGCCAGCGCCTTCTCTTTGAAGACATACAATGCTTCGAGCTTGAAGTAGTACTCGAAAACCCCCCCGAGCGAGGCTTTCATCTGGAGCAGCGAGTCCGACACGGCGAGGTGCTTGACAAAGGTCTTGAGCATGATGGTCTGCCCGTCCAGGTCGGGCTGCAGCTGGCGGTTCATCGGCTCCCGGATGAACTCCCACCATTTCTCAGTGGGAACGTAGAGCGCGTCCCGATCAGGGTCGAAATAGCGAACGAAGCTCGGCCGCCGGTCCTCGTTGTGGCGGATGTCCAGACCCTGGGCGCGGACCCATCCCAGGGCATGGCGGCGAGCTTCGTGATTGACAAATGCTAGTGGGACGTCGTACTGGGCTGGCGTGAGCAGTTTGTAGTCAAACTCCATGTTGAGATTGCAGTCCTCGTTGACGGGATCGTAGTCGTCGTCGCCCGGCATGAGGCGACGTGGCCGCCAGCAGCCCTTTTGGTAGAGGAACAGCGCCGGGCGAGTCGCGTCAGGCAGCGCATCGTGCCAGATCTGGTCGCGGATCTCAGGCGGCAGAAGGGAGAAGTGATGGAAGATGGTGTGATTGTCCGGCCCCATTATCAGCGTGTTGTGGTGGTGGGTAGGACGAGGGGAATTATTTGGCCGTCGGTCGCAGATTGTGAGCAGATGGAAGATTCCAAACGCAGCAGCAATCAATGAAACGAGTCTGGGAGCGCGTGTTTTTCTAAACGCCCTGAATGCGGGGGGCAAATATTCATGCACAATGGTGGTGCTGATCCGGGGCTGTGGCCCGAAAGCCGAGCCAGAACGGCGCTGAGGCATGATGAAACACGGCTGAGTGGAAGAGCTCAAGCCCGTTGGTTGGCACTTGTGCTGGCCTGGCTTGGCATCGTATTACAAACTCGTCTTACCTGCAGCAAGGCCAGGCAGAACGGAGAAGAATAAAAATATAAGGGTCCGTCTGACCTCGCCATCGATTGAGGCTGTGGTTGATCTTACTCCTTGGTTTCTCCTCCTCCACTTCGCTTCTTCCAGTCCGTACAAGTTGCCGCTGGCAGGCATTTGCATTTCTTTCTAATCCGAATTTGATATCCGGCGCCAGGTGCGCTGTAAACACAGTTCCATAATGGCCTCTCTCAAGGCACTGGTCTTCGGCCTGCTCCTCCTGGTCAGCCAGGCCCTGGCCTCGCGGGTCGTCTTCCTCGG